GAGAAGAAGAAGAAGAAGACTAGGAATGAATGTATTCATTCCCCACATATGATCTCAATTCGCAGAAATCATTTAATCAGTTAGTTAAAGTTTAGTATAATTACTTTTTGGGATAACGATAGATTCTTGTAAAACCCTAGTAAATAATATCAGTTTTCCTAGGGTTCTTTCATACTTTTACACGTAACATTCCCGGGATGTCAAGTAAGCACGTTATGCAAAAGAGTTATTCAAACAAACGGCAGACAGTCGCCCCCGCAGGCGACATCCTTTGTTGTTTTGGCTTCAAGGACTCTTTTATGAGTCGTCTGTTGGCGGAGCATCCTTGGCGCATCCTTGGGGCATCATATCCACTTCCCACTCTCTCAATTCAGTGCCAACTGCAGATGCAGATGCAGTTGCAGTTGCAGATACAAAGAATCAGATTCCGATTGAGGAGATTCCCCAGCGAGGACTTGGCTCAATTATACAATACCCACACTTAACTCTCTTTCACCACCCCGCTTTTCCTCATAACTTTTTCTCTCTTTTCCCTGGGCTTTGTCCTTGACTGTATTCCAAATGTTATTTCTGTTTTGTTTGCCCTGTTATTGTTGATGATGTAATATTGTAAGGGCTCCTGCCTTGTGCCGGATTAGTCATCAGATATATCTCTTCGATGGCAGTCAGACGCTTCTAATATTCGATTGGCGCCCCCGAAAGTTTCTCCTTGGCAAATTGAGTGAGGTTAGGTCTGGCAATTAGGTTTTAGGGGGGTTTTTTTTTGGGTGCATAGTATAGTTTGGTGTCCCCGGGCGACGCCTCACAAAACAATGCCCGAAAAGGTTAACGTCCTTTCGCCTGCAGTCAACCCCTAAACCTAAAGGCCGGGTCCGAGAAGTCGTTGTGGCCAGGAAATGGCACCCATGCAATTTCCACCCCGGCCCTCAGTTCCTTCTGCCCACTTTAATGCATTCAAATTGATAAATATTCAGCGCCATCGCCCTCTTTCTCCCCCAAAACACGCATACGACACGTTGTCGGCATGACTCATCCAGCGGATACGGAACTACCCGACTAGTATTCCTGTCGCAATCGCCACACGCAGAGAAAATCTTGAGGCTTACTATTGAAATTACTCATGGGAAATATGAATAAGCCATAAAATCACATTATTCCTATTTTTATAAAAAATTTATTACGACTTTTTCTGTGTCCGTACTTTATATTATATCCTTATTATTTCCTACAACTATTTCCCCAGTGCACAAGTTTTATTATTGTTTTTTATTCGCCACTCATGTCAGAGGGCGGTTATTTTGCCCGCTAGGCCGTGTCCCGTTAACCAACCCCCAGCCAAAGCAAAACATCCCCCGCCGCACTCACATCCGATTATTTATAGCAGAGACCCCTCCTAATTGATTACCATGCAGTTCATTGGCTGCCCTCGAGTCCTCGAGTTCTTGAGGCTTAAGTTTCGGCTAAGTGAAAGCAGCTCCTTGGCTAATACTGCAATTACCAGCCAATGAACCCAAATGGTTAGCTTTATTATAAGGTCGAATGCATTCGCATCTAAATTGGATTGTAAATTCAATTAAATGGAATATTATATTATAGTATTTTCCGTGGCTTTTAGCTAGTTTCATAGTTATAGTAAATGGTTTATTTAATTCTTCAGAACGAAAAGATTTTATGGTCGTAGAAGGCCTGAAACCCGTCAACAGGTTCCCTAACCGAATACCAAATACCATATAACCATATGCCATATACCAATTAAGAGCAATCAACGCTTTGGCATTTGTTTAGCTGCAGCCCGATGAGTTTGCTCTGATGTAAGATCCCGAGTGTCGAGTGGTTTCGTTGCGTGTGGTCAATTAATAACCGAATGGTTTAATAGATCGCACTCTTCAGTCCGACTTCCTCGCTGGATCCACCTGAGCCCCCTGATCAAAAAGCAAGCTGGCCATGAGAAAACGAGGCGGCTTTTGGCATTTGCCGTATTTGGTTGCGAACAAGTTTTTTTCTTCGCTGCACAGGTAATAATGCTTACGATCAACTTGGAAAATGCAGTAAAAAAGATGATCGTTATTGGGTAATACGCGAAAGATATACTCAATTTCAAGATGACATGTTTAGCAGTCAAACTGGGGCAAATATCATTTTAATGTTTTTTTAAAAAATTGAAAAAAATAAATTTTTTAAATAATTAATACCATCGTAGGCTGCAATTTGTGCACGCCCAAAGTAACGACAACTCCAGGATGCAGGACATTGAACCCCGCTGCGAAACAGGAATCGATTGAGGTCTTGGGGACTTGGCCAAATGGCAAAAGTGGGTCGCCAGTTATGAGCAAGAAATCGCCATCGGCACCTTTTCGGCCAAGTCGCGTGTTTCGGGTTCGAAAGAAAGAAGGAAAGAAGCCCAAACGAACCGGGCAGAACCGGAAGAATGCTGGCCATATGGAGCGAATTTTATATGTGCCATAAACCCCAACCGTTTTTGGCATATGGTCACTCGATTACGATTACTAATCGTGCCTGTGCTACGAAGTACGAAATATACCCTCAAAAAGGGGTCCTAACTATTGAGATATACATATTATAATTCCGTTTTAAACATAGTGTATTTGAAATGGAATAGGTATACCATCTTAGTTATCCGAAATCTATACTATACATTTTCTAATTTCCTTTTCTCCTCTTCTTTTCCAGCTTTACTGCAGTCTTCTTCTTGTCCAGCTGCCAAGAGCTTTTCCGTTTTGACGCAACTTTTCCGCTCGAACTGAACTTCGTCCTTGGAGCAGCTGCCACTAATCAGAGCGGAATGCAGTTGAAAACTTGGCTAAAAGAGGTGGAAACGGAGGAGGTGCAATAGTATTTCCCAGGAAAGGGACTGGACTGGAACAATGGAGCGACCTTCGACCCATCGGCAAACGCACTCAGCACTATTTCCACCGAATCATTATTAAATAAGGTAAATATTGACATCGGGCGTTGAGTTGGCTTTGCAGTGGCGTTTAACGCGCCGACACACAAGAACAAACCATTAGCACTCGGCATCAGGGTTAGACTAATCGATACCCCTTATTTGATAGTGAAAATTGGTATTAAAAGTGATAAATAACTATTTTGAGAGATGGTATTTTGGGTAATTTTTCAAGGAATATTATATATTTTTGTTGAATTAATTTAGTTAAATCTAAAATATTAATAATATAAACACCTCTTGGTCCAACATACCCATGATACCCTCTTCACGGAGAGGGAGAAAGAGAACAAAGGCAGTGACAGTTAGTTGGGCAGCACAAGATGCACTCGTGTGGGAGCGAAAGAGAGGGGGAGCGCAGGAAGGTGGGGAAGAGGGAGAGGGGAAACAAGGTGAGAGCGGTGGCAATGAATAGTCGTAAAATGAAAAAACGCAATTAAGACAAACTGCAGCAGAGCGAACGACTTCGGTTGACTGCGCTGCTGCAGAGTTTTGTCATCTCTACACATTTCCAGGCTCTCAGGCTCTTGGGCTTCCAGGAGGAGGGGAGGGGGATAGAAGGGGAAGGGGTTCTGAAGGGTACAGCCTCTCCATGGAGGTTAAAGAAGAATCACGGTGGAAAGGCAAAGTCAACGAGTTATTCATTCTGATTTACATACATATACGTACATATAAATGATTATTCATTCCATTTGTGCAATTTGTAGCTGGAATTTCGATCACCGCATCTTAATTCGTCCAAATATTTTGGACACACATGTGGATAACAATATATTGGCGTACAGTGAATAAGTAACTTCATGAACGCATTTAAGTGCTGGAAAGAATACAAATCTTAGGTGGGTTTTAAATAATCTCAATAATTTGAATGCCTATTTCATTAGTCCCAAATAATCCGAAGATATAATTTCCTTTTAAGAACTTTTAACTATAATTTCTGGGTATCCCTTAGCGAAGGTCCACTGTGTGTTTATTTATTTGCACAGGATGTGAGTTAGTATTTGCGCTCGTAAACACACACACACACACACATGGATCGCGGGTGTGCACGCGATTATCAAATTTATGGCTGATGTCAGCCAAGAGGAAAAGAGAAGGAAAGACAGTCATATATGTAGTATTATTGTTTTTTGCTTCTCTGGATTTTTGCTGGATTTGCATTCGACTTGGAAGTCGAATCTCCGAGAGCTGGAAAGTGAAGCTGCTTATTGGGAAAACCTTAACTCAACCCCCTTTCACCAGCTTCCATCCCCAGCTAAAATCTCCTTTCCGATTTCCCTGGCTAATGCCCCGTAAAGTGTTTATCTGGCCACTGGATATAAAATGATTTATTGCCCCCACCCCAGCCGCCCATTTTGTGCGATTGTCGCTTCCTCGACATAAGTGGATCAGTGGATTATAATGGGGCTTACGAGTGCAGCGGTACTACGGCTGTTTACAGGGTGCCTCTTGCGCATCTATTTGTAAATGTTTATATGATTATAACTAAGCATTTTCGAATCATTTCCAAATTTCGGTTTCTAGTAACGAAGCGCAACAGTCGCCGAAATAGCAGATGAAAACAGCGAACGGCGAAAACTCCTGGCACTTTTATCGATCCAACAAGAAAGCAGCAACCACCCTCCCCGTTTCGGGCAGGATTACGTCGTTATGTGGCGCCGGGCCTGAAACAGTCGGCCATTTCGGAGGGGGGGTTTACCAGGGGGCACCGGGGGTCGGGGGTCAGGGGTCAGGGGCTACGGGGTACTGGGGTAGCGGTCTGAGGAGCATGCGCACTTGCCACCCGCAGCGTCGCAATAGACACGAAAGCACAGAAACCCAAAACATCGCGGAATGCACTTTACATAACCCTAGGATTGGAATTGTCGCATGCGGCATCCTTATTATATTTGGGGTATATAGTATTACCTAGTAATGATAGCATGACATCAGATACTCGCAAGTACCCGAGGAATCTATCTATCTATGCTTAATTTCCGTATTATTTTTATTAAACCCAAACTTTATCTATTATAATCCCTGGAAAAACACTCACTGGCATTCGTTCATGATCTCCTCCTGGCTGCGCACCTGCACCGGAGCCAGCTCCTCGACGTTCTCCTCGTAGTTGCCGAAGCACTTGGTTATCTTCTCGTCGAACGTGTTGACCAGATCCTCCAGGCTGCCGCCGAAGGTCTCCGTGAAGTTGTCCACATGGTCGCCGGCGGCCAAAGAGCGCTTCTCCAGTCCGTCCAGTCCGGAGCCGGCGCCCTCGCCGGGCACCAATCCGACGTCGGACAGGCCGAGATCCAAGACCGATCCGCCGCCCTGCAGCGTGTTGCAGTTGGGACTGATGGAGCCAGCTCCGGTTGCTCCCCCTCCTCCTCCTCCTCCTCCGTTCTTGCTTACGTGAGCATCGCGGACCGCGTCCTCCAGGAGACGCAGCTTGGCCGCGTCCGGCTTGCCGCCGCCTCCGCCGCCGCCGGTGGAGTTGTCCTTCAGATTCAGGTTGAGCGTGTCGTTGAGGGCGTTTTGGTTCGAGATGAAGTCGCAGCCGCCCCACTCGTCCGTCTCCTCGAACTTCGCCAACGGAGCCTCGAATTTTAGCTCGGCCATTTTGGTGCCGAGGTCACGCATGGCACGCGAAAGGGATTCTCTCAAGGATTCGGCGGAGGACTCCCCTTCCGAACTCGGTGTTTCCAATTGCGCGCTTCCCTTATTTTCTACGCACACACACTTTTCCTCCTCCTTGCCTGCGACTTTTCCGAATTGGCTGCAAAAATTTTGCAACCCCTAAATCACGGCTGCTCGGTCGTTGGGGGTTGAGCGGGGAAATGCCCCGGAAAACTGGACTCCGGGAAACTCCAATTGGACTGATTCCGATTCTGGTTCTGTTTCCACTTGGACTCCACTCAGCTCGACTTTTCGTCTGTTTTTCCTTGCCTTCGGGCACAATAAAAACACCAAACAATAAAAAAATAAATCACACCAACACTCTGTCGCGCTCGGCTGCTAATGTTTTGTTTTTACAAAATAATCTTTTCTATTTAGCGACTGCACTTCTTTCTCTTTTCAAAACTAAAATTCGTCTAGAGGTGGTCTAGAGGTAGAGGAAGGTCGATTAAAACATCGATTTAAAATTTTCTGGATATCGATGTTTTTTGCCGCAATCGATGTTTTTGTCATCAACTGAAAGAGTTGTGTGACCGTAACTGGAGACGACATTTTCCCCTAATTTGGGAAATAAATAAAGTAAAGTAATGTTTTTGAGGTTTTATTTAGGACATTATTAATACAGACTACGTGGCAACGCCAGTCATGCAGTCGAGACACCAACCCCTTATCTAGACACCAACCCCTTATTTATACAACAACCCCTTATTTATACATCAACCCCTTATTTTGACACGAACCCGTTCCTAATTTAGGACCTTATCAAAAGCAACTAGGTGGCCACGTCAGCGATACCGATACCGATAGCTCGAAAGTATCATTCCTCCCGTTATCGCTTTCCCGTGCGCTAAAAAAGAACGAAATTGACAAGTAAAACATAAAAATAAACGCTCTACGTGGTGAATCGCGCAACGTGGACTCCGGACACGAATGGCCAGCCGCGGGGCCGGCGCCGCTGTGGTCCACACAACGGTGACAGCCACCTCGCTGACGGTGGAGACGATCACCAATGTGCTGACCACGGTGACTTCGCTCCACTCGAACAGCGTCAACATCTCGAACAACAACAATGTAGTTAGCAGTGGAGGAGGAGGAGGTGCCGCTGGCCAAGGAGCGACCGATGCAGCCGGTGATGGAGCAGGGGGCGTGGCCGCGCCGACGGACGCCAGCAAGCCGATCTATCCGCGACTCTTCAACCGCATCGTGCTGACGCTGGAGAACAGCCTCATTCCCGAGGGCAAGATCGACGTGACGCCGTCCAGCCAGGACGGACTCGACCACGAGACGGAGAAGGACCTGCGCATACTCGGCTGCGAGCTCATCCAGACGGCGGGCATCTTGCTGCGCCTGCCGCAGGTGGCCATGGCCACCGGCCAGGTGCTCTTCCAGCGCTTCTTCTACTCGAAGAGCTTCGTGCGCCACAACATGGAGACGGTGGCCATGAGCTGCGTGTGCCTGGCCTCCAAGATCGAGGAGGCGCCGCGTCGCATCCGGGACGTGATCAATGTGTTCCACCACATCAAGCAGGTGCGGGCCCAGAAGTAAGTGATTCTAGTCCATAATCATATATATACTAACCACTCTGCCCACAGGGAGATCTCGCCCATGGTGCTGGACCCGTACTACACGAACCTCAAGATGCAGGTGATCAAGGCCGAGCGGCGCGTGCTCAAGGAACTGGGCTTCTGCGTGCACGTGAAGCACCCGCACAAGCTGATCGTGATGTACCTGCAGGTGCTGCAGTACGAGAAGCACGAGAAGCTGATGCAGCTCTCCTGGAACTTCATGAACGACTCGCTGCGCACGGACGTCTTCATGCGCTACACGCCGGAGGCGATAGCCTGCGCCTGCATCTACCTGAGTGCCCGCAAGCTGAACATACCGCTGCCCAACAGTCCCACTTGGTTTGGTGTCTTCCGCGTGCCGATGGCGGACATCACGGACATTTGCTACCGCGTGATGGAGCTGTACACGCGCTCCAAGCCGGTGGTGGAGAAGCTGGAGGCAGCCGTGGACGAGCTGAAGAAGCGCTACATCGATGCGCGCAACAAGACGAAGGAGGCGAACACGCCGCCGGCCGTAATTACGGTGGACCGCAACAATGGGTCGCACAATGCGTGGGGCGGCTTCATCCAGCGGGCGATTCCACTGCCGCTGCCCTCGGAGAAGTCGCCCGAGAAGGACTCGCGGTCGCGTTCGCGCTCCCGGACGCGCACCCAGTCGCGAACGCCGCGCTCCCGCTCGCCGAGGTCCCGGTCGCCGAGTCGCGAGCGCACCAAGAAGTCCCACCGCAGCCGATCCTCCCGCTCGCGCTCCCGGTCGCCGCCGAAGCACAAGAAGAAGTCGCGCCACTACTCGCGCTCGCCCACGCGCTCCAGTTCGCCGCACAGCAAGCACAGGAAAACGTGGGTTTTGTCTGGCCATCCTAGTAGTTTGACAGTTAATTAATCCCATTAATCTCCCTTAGGAAATCATCGCGGGAACGCTCTGAATACTACTCCAAGAAGGACCGATCGGGAAACGCCGGCGGCAGCAATAATGTGAGTGACGGCGACAAGTATCGCAACTCCGGCAAGCACAGCCGCTACTCCTCCTCCTCGTCGCATCGCAACAGTGGCGGCGGCGGGGGAGGAGAAGGCAGGGGAGGAGGCGAGAGAGGAGGCAGCCGAGGTGGCCACAAGCACCGGGATGGCGATCGCTCCAGGGATCGCAAGCGCTAGGGATTGACTAACAGACAAAACAAACACTCCTTTCATTTTAATTGATTTGTATTTTACAGATTTACCGATTATTTCTACCGATTAGTTCGATCTAGTAATTCTAATATATATTGTAAAAACGAACTCGGGTAAACAATAAATATAGCTCCTCAATCAAGCAGCTGTCTGCCGTCCCAATCCTCGCGCATATCACAGCAATCCGACAGAGAAGGAGCACTAGAAGGCAGTGCTCCTGCCACCTGGGAATAAACACAAAATGTTGAAGCTGGCAGAGGAATCGCTGGCCAATCCAGCGCAAGATCATAACTCTAAATGGTGGTCGCATAGGACATCAGGGCGATCTGGGGATGCGAGAGGGAGACGTCGCGGAACTCCTGCGTGAAGGAGAGGATGAAGAAGCTGAAGACGGTGGCCATGATCCACTCGGAAATGGAGCTGACCACGTGGAAGTACCAGCCGCCGTCGGAGGGATACCACTTGCGCGGATTCTGGCCCTTGAACAGGATGTGCGACATCACGCCGGTGACCGCCAGCAGGATGAAGAGGATCGTGCAGACGACGGCCATGCCCAGCCGCAAATGGGCGTAGATCCGAGTGCCCGACATGGGCAGGATGAGGTACGAGATGAGCGCCTGCATCCAGAAGTACAGGGTGCCGCAGCCGAAGCAGCAGAAGGCGCCGATGAAGTGCACGATGCGCACGTTCGTCTCCTGGAAGTTGCCCACGAAGCTGATGCCCAGGCAGGAGACCAGGCCGAACCAGAGGGCCAGCCGGTTCTGGCGCAGCACCGAGGCGTCCAGCTCGGGATGGTGCTCGTACAGCTGCAGCACCTGGCGGTAGCGCACGTAGATGGTGATTCCCACTGCGGGGAAAAGATGGAAGCGAATCAATTGGTCAGGGATGAGTCATAATCTGGAGATAAGATGCCGGGGACTCACACAGCACGCTGCCGATGTTGATTAGCTGCCCGAACACGCAGCTCTCCGGCGAGTAGGTGGCCGCATCGCTGATGTAGGGCACCGTGGGCACCACATGACCCTCTAGCACGGCGAAGATGTAGCTGGGGAGCGGAGGTTACTCCAGATAATGAATCAAACCGAGATAATGGTCAAGTAGCAACCCATACTTACGTGCCGATAAAGGTCACCTGGAAGATGAGGAACGTGGCCACCGGCAGCAGATAAACCTGTGACATCGCGGTGGCTGTGGGTGGCTGTGGGTCCACGACAAACTTCTGCGTATCTTATTTAATTGCGCTGCAATAAACCGAACAAGGGATCCAAATGTTTGGGTCTTTCGCAGTGCTGCTGGTTTGACTGGATTATAGCCGCCTGGAGTGCATTTAGTGTTGGTATTTTAAAGGCATTAGGGGCATTCCTCGAATATGCAGTTGTTAAATTTGAATATGTTTGGGTTGAGATTTTGTCACTTTTGCGGCCAAAGTGAGGGTTTGAAAATATTAAAATCGCATTTTAACTAAATTTCTGGTCCAAATATGGATTGTTTTACCTCGTTGAACTCGTAAAAATATTCTCTATCGTTTGGCATTTCAGCCTAAAAATGTATATTTTTATAAATTTTTTCCAAAAAATAAACAAAAAAGGTGTTGCCAAAAATTTAAGCATGGGAACTTTTTTAACCATTCCAAGACTATTATTTTCCGCCAATAAATAAGAGTATTTTTAAAATGTTATGTACTAGTATTATTTATTGAATGCCCTTGATGTTACCAAAAGATACTGTTCAGTATGTTTTAGTATATTTTGGTGCGTTTCAAAAGCGGACACAACGTGCGTGCTCCGCTCTCTCGCTTCTCCTTTGGAACCATGGTGGCCACCGGTGGACAGGATCAGGATCAGGATCAGAATCAGGACCAGAACCAGGAGCCGGATGTGCTGAGTCCCACGTCGGCGGTGACGGGACTGCCGCAGAAGCGCTTCTACCGCCAGCGGGCGCACTCGAATCCCATCGCGGACCACAGCTTCGACTAGTGAGTAGCTCCTCCACAAAGGGAAGTAGAAACTGATCCCCCATCTATCACCCAGTCCCGCCCGTCCGGAGGATGTGGACTGGCGCGCCCTGTACCCGAGCATCCAGGCGGGCCAGCAGGTGAGCTTCGCGGACATCGGCTGCGGCTACGGCGGCTTCCTGGTCACCCTGGGCGAGATGTTCCCCGAGAAGCTCTCCATCGGCATGGAGATCCGCGTCAAGGTCTCCGACTACGTGGTGGACCGCATCACGGCGCTGCGGCGGAAGAGCGTGGCCGCGGGAGGCGGAAGTTCCTACCAGAACGTCGCCTGCCTGCGCACCAATGCCATGAAGTATCTGCCCAACTACTTCGCCAAGGGCCAGCTGGAGAAGATGTTCTTCCTCTACCCGGATCCGCACTTCAAGCGCGCCAAGCACAAGTGGCGCATCATCAACCAGGCGCTGCTCTCCGAGTACGCCTACGTGCTCAGGAAGGGGGTGAGTGTTCCTTTGCCATCGAGATGTTCCAGCTAAAGCATCTCTCTCTTAACTAAAGGGCCTGGTTTACACCATGACGGACGTGGAGGACCTGCACAAGTGGATCGTGGCGCACATGGAGCAGCATCCGCTGTACGAGCGTCTCACCGAGGAGGAGGCCGTAAGTTGAATCGCCACAGCTTGTCACTCAGTAATCACTCGGTTTAAACCCACAGAACTCCGACCCCATCACCCCCAAGCTATACCAGAGCAGCGAGGAGGGCGCCAAGGTGGTGCGCAACAAGGGCGATCACTTCCTGGCCATTTTCCGGCGCCTCTAGCACCGCGTATATTCTCCACATTATTTTTAAGATTGCCTTTAGAGTAAAGACCGATTGTTAAAGCATCCCGTTCAGTTGTCCCGCTCCCTCGCATTCGACCAGCGTCTGGCCGGCGGCCTCCAGGGTCACCTCGAACCGGACGCCGGCCAGCTGCTCGGCCACATGGATGGCGGTGCGCGTGTGGCTGCTCAGCGGTCCGGTGCGCATCCTCGAGCGGCCCGCCGCCAGGGCCATGTAGATGATCAGCTGGTCCTGCATGTGCTCGTCCACGCAGATCTCCTTGCGCACGTACTCGGCCAGCCGGAGGGAGGCCTCCGAGCCGAGCGCCTGCCCGTCGACTCGCTTCTGGCCCAGCGAAGCGGCGCCCAGGATGCAGCCGCCGGTTGTGTGGGCCGTCATCAGAATGCCGGCTCCGTTGTCGCGCGCCTTCTCAGGCGCATGCTTCACCGCCTCGACGCTGATCTCGTGCATCTCCGGCAAGAGGCGATGGATCTCGCGCTGCGCCGTCTGCTGCATGTCGATCGCCAGGCTCTTGGGCAAACGGCCGGCGGTGAAGGCCACTCCGCTGACCAGCTGCAGGCGGCCAAAGTCCAGGAACTGCCCAGCCTTCAGCTTTTCCACCGGCTGCACGTCCAGCTGGCAGCTGCCCTGGCCGCGTGGATAGAAGCCGTACTGCTGCACCTTGAGGTCGAAGGAGGCGCCCAGGGGCTTCAGATGCGGCAGCAGCACCTGCTGCATGTACTCCACCGGCGGGGCGAAGGCCACGTTCGTGCCGCCGGCGACGAACAGGCGGGAGGGGCGGCCGGCGAAGAGCAGGACGGGCAGGGCCATTTGGTAGATCAGCGTGATGCTGGCCGCCGTGTGCGTCTCCACGCGGTACGTGCTGCCCCGGATGGTGCGCGGCGTGAATTCGAGTTCGGTGGAGAGCAGCGTGTTGCCTGCAACGTCGGCGTTGCAGATGTCCCGCAGCAGGTTCACGCCGTGCAAATGCTGGTGGGAGAGTCCCGGCTTGGGGCGATTCGCCCGGATCTTGGTCACGCGCACCGGCTTGCCCAGGATGCAGCTGAGGCTCAGGGCGTTGCGCAGCGCCTGCCCGCCGCCCTCCAGGTAGGAGCCGTCGATCTCCACGAAACCCTTGTCGTCCATTTTCACGACTTGTCGCTTTTCCGGCTGCTTTTCTTTCAAGTTGTCAGGAAATTTGCCTCCATCCCATTGGATTCCAATTGGACCGGCACTTCTCAGTGTGCCCGTTGCCGGCTTAGCTTGAAACGCCCGACCACTGGGGTCCCACTGAAAGCGCGCCAGTTTCGAACTAGTCCGGCATCACTGGCCAGAGTGTAAACAAATAAATTAAAATTTAATAAATATTAAAGGACAATATCTAACCATGGTTGTGTGAGTAGTACAGCAGTAGTGCTTTCTACATATAACTTTCTTGTATATACACATGTCCGTGCAACTAATGCAAGTACGTGCCGCCTTTAGAAGATTTATTTATCTGTGACGTGCCATCGCGACGGCAATTATCTAGTCCAGCCAGTGGTTTAACTGCCATTAGCGGCGTCGATACCCATAGCCCACATCGAAGGCGAATCACTTGGCAATTGAGCAATCGCTGGCGTCCAAGAGCTTGGCTATTCCACTGGAATGTTCGCCCCGCTTCCTGCACAGTGGAAGAAAAATAGTTGCTAATTAGTTCGAAAACGTATTTATTACTTTCTAAACTTAAGAGTCTATTATAGGAATATGGGAATTTTTATTTGGTACCGTTTAAACACATTTAATGCCAGAATATTCGGACAGTACAAAATACAATCTTTGAATTTCAGTTTTTTTTTATACCCTTGTAGAGGGTATTATAATTTCAGTCAGATGTTTGCAACGCAGTGAAGGAGACGTTTCCGACCACATAAAGTATATATATTCTTGTTCAGCATCTCTAGACGAGTCGATCTAGCCATGTCCGTCTGTCCGTCTGTCCGTCTGTCCGTCGGTCCGTCTGTCCGTCTGTCCGTCTGTCCGTTTCTATGCGAACTAGTCTCTCAATTTTAAAGATATCGCGATGAAACTTTCCCGAAAGTCTTCTTTCTATTGCAGGTAGTACATATGTCGGAGCGAGCCGAATCGGACCACTATATCTTAAGGCTCCCATAGGAATATTCAAAGATATATAAGAAAATTTATTGTTACTTTGTAGGAAGTTGGCGTTTTAATTCTTGACTCTTTAAAAACAAAATTCAAAAATAGAAACGCTGAGTCTGGAATCCCTGGAACAGCACCGAGTGAGCATTACTTTATCTGCAAGGGTATATAAGCTTCGGCTGGCCGAAGGTAGCTTCCTTTCTTGTTAAAAGGTTATTTTCAACGACAGAAAAAATTCTTCAAAACATGAATTTGTTCAGAGGAACGGCCACTTCAAATAACTAACACGATATAAAAAAAACGAATTCTCTTTTTTTCCGTTCGAGTTAAGGAAGTTTGGCTGTAGTTTGAAAGCCCTGCATTGGTTTTAAAATCACCGCCGTCATTTCTACAAAGTCCTGATTAAGTTCAGCAAGAGCCATTTAAATCTATGTAATTCTTGGAGTCCGATAAAAACAAGTCGAACCCCTTCACAGGCAAGTGTCAACCGTAACCTCAGACGGACATTGACGAAATGGGCTTAGGACAGATAATATTCCTGACATGGTCTGTAAAAAGGGGTTTGAGTTCAAAATATTAAGATAACAGTTTGGCTTCCTAAAGATTAAATAAGATTTCAAATGAGCTAACCAAAAGAGGTTACTTTTTATGTTCACCTCTAGTTTTATATAAAAAAACAAAAAGGAAAAATTCAAATTTTTACCAAAAACCAAGATTTCTATTTTTCACAACAAAAATGATTCGTTTTTTGGCCATAACAATGGAAATATTGATTCAAATATGGATTGTCATACTTTTCTGAACTCGTTATTAAATTTCCTAACGATTGGCGACCTTGACATTTTATTTATTTTTAATTTTTCGCAAAAAATTATGGGGTACCCCCTTATAAAAAAATTAAAAATTTGCGAAAATTTTATTTTTCCAAGATCATCCGGAAAGTGTTCTGGATTTATTTATTATTTTGTTATCTGTTCAAAACAGTATGTATTTTTGGTGTAAGACCATTTTTGGCCAAGTTACAGCAAAAAAACAAACAGGAAAAATTCAAATTTTTACCAAAAACCAAGATTCCAATTTTTCACAAAAAAAGAATTCGTTTTTTGACCATAACAATGGTAATATTGATCCAAATATGGAATCCAAACGATTGTCATTTAAATCTGGACAATTAATTTTTTTGCCATTTTTTCCTTGTTTACCTTGTATAAAGCGAGATACCAACCATTTGCTCAGTAGAGTGCTACAGAGTTGGCCGTATCTGTAGGTAAAACACTTATCAACATGTCTATATAACGTGCTAACAGGCGTTTTCTAATTAATTATAAAAGAAGTGACTGCAAGTTAGTAAAAAGGGTTACTCAGGGCGGTTATTCCACTCGAGGAGTCATGGAAACCACAATCTTGTTCTTGTTCTAGTTCTAGTTCCGCTGTTGTGATGCAATTGTGCCGGCATTGACTGTGGCTACAGTGAGCACTGGCAACAGGTGAATTGGGCGCCGAGTGCATTGGTCTGTAACGCGGCGAAGGCCAGGCTAAGTGCTGCTCTCTTTATGACTTCTTGTTGCTGGCCATTCCAAATTAACGCCGGCAGGGGTTGGGGTAAACGGTGCTGGGGGAGGCGGCGGGGGGCGTGGCTGGTTGTAAAGAAGGTGGAAGAGATTGCTTGGGAGTGAAGTGCGACGGCGGCAAGGTCGCGACGTTTTTGTTAGCAAAGCACACAGACGTTTGTCTTGGGGAGTGGAGCACACACGCGAATGGTCGGAAAGGCAGAGCGGACACCTGCGGTCAAAGCTATAACTCCCAGTGCTGTGATGTGGTATATGGAGATAATTTTTTCCATTTTTTAGTAACGTTTTTTTTTCGTATTAAAAAAATTTTTTTTTTAACTGATAGTTAGGGCCTATAACGGTTTGATTGTTTACCTATGTATATCAACTAAAGCTTATCTTGGAAAATAAACGAAAAAGCTTTTCATCTACATTAACTGAACATTGACTAATATTTTAATAAGTAGTCCGACACAAAGGTTTGACTGTTCGGCTATCTTAACTAATACTAATCTTTAAAAAAAAGCTTTACGTTTAACTATAATTCCATCGGATTACTTAAGTGAGCATTAACGGATTAGAGTGGATTTGAATAAGTGGTGCGAAAATTAGAAATAAATATTGGAAGTTGCTTGCCGAGATAGTGGGACACTACTATCTTGACCGCCCCTGTGCACACACACTCGCACGTCTGGGGAGGCACGGAGCTTCCAGTTCCAGTCGAGTCCAGCGCCGAAGTTGAGCGCCATACGCGGTTCGCAGTTCACGCGCGCCAGACGTGCCTCGCTCCTGCTCTCTCTCCTGCCTTGCTCTCTCCCCGCGCAGCGTTCCTGGTCCATTCCAATCCCATCTCCATTCCAGTTCCGTCAATCTCGTCTCCTCGGAACAGACCTGTTGCACGCTCTCGCGTCCTCTCCTTCCACGCGATTCCAGTTGTTTTGTTTTTGTTATAGTTATTGTTATTGCAACTCCGGCGAGAGTGGTGAGTGGCAGTGGTGAGATAAACAATGATGTGCGTCTCGAAAACGTTTAGGAATTCGGGGAATATCCATCTGCGGTCGATGATTCAGCCACTGGCTAAATATATTGAATAGAAATGATTAACGCTCGTGAAAATAACTAACTGATAACGGGTTTTAGTACGCTGATTGAGTGCATTTAAGTGGAAAACGAAAAACAAAGCTCTCAAACCGCAAACTCAACTTTTCAGGTGGCAACCCTATCGAGCAGCTCTTAACTTGGCCAAAACGCGCGGAGGCGTCGAAAACCTTCTGAGGATATTTGAGCGTAAACCAAGGTAAAGTCCAGTTCGCGTTGCATTTTTGGGGCCAAAAATTGTAATTTATTTCCGAAATGATTTTCAAAGCAGAACCCATCTGAGAATACTCAACGCACAGCCGTTTTTGAACAACCGCCGCCTACTCACAATGGGTTCCATCAACTGCAAGGAATACAAAACTACGGGGAGTACCCCCAAAAAGGAAAAGTCGACGGGTAACACAGGTAACGTAACCCCCGATTTACAGAGTGTCTACTTTCGAAACTTTAATTTCCAGTCACAGAAACATTTGCGTTTTGGTTGCAATTTTTTTCATTCGAAGGTCATATTTTTTCTAATACGCAGCACGCAAAAATATGTTTTGTATAGTGATTTATTCCTCATGTAGATTAAAAGAGCATCAACCTAAGATGGGTTCTCATAGTAACCAAACTCAGATTTGAATTCATAATAGGGGCACCTTTTCTAATCGCAGTCCCATGTCTCTCCGTCTATAATTCAAAAAGTGTGTGGTCATGTCGTAGATGATCCGATAGCCAACATTGCCGTGTTCCTTTTACCAATCGAACGAGGCCAATTGGTTAGGAATTGTGATTAGGAGAATGGGAATGACCCGCTTTTGGGGGGTGTTGCCGGGGAGGGGGCTTAGATAATTGTCTCGGCGGCATAAGTCCAAGATTGAGAAAGAGATATGGACAGCGGGAGCGCGCAACTTGTTGGCTTTGCTGCTGCGTCATTGCCACAGTGGAAATCAGTTAATAGTAAATTTACATCTTGTGATCTGGTAATATCAAATTTGTATTCCATTTCTGGTAAAAAAAAAGGAGTATGATCTTCGCTGGTGAACCCATAAGGCTAAGCAGACTCTTAAATATTTTAATAAAGATCCTCATCTCTTCTTTTGTAAATTAGATACATATCAAACTTTGGAAAGAAATGTTAAATGAGTCAATATTGCAGTTTTTTAAAGGGTATTCTGAATGTTTAGGATACGAAACCCATAAAACTAAATAGAGTCTTCTCTTTCTTTTATTTAGGTACAAATAGTATTCGGATTTATGAGATCTCGGGAAAATTAATTTTTTAAACTCATTCACATTTTTTAAAAGATATTCTTAACTAGGTTCAAAGCTTTAGAGGGTATTCCAATCGATATCCACTGTACGCGCAGCTGTTGTTAGTCACCGCTATCGGAATTTCGCCTGTGTAGCTTGCTCTGCCTATTGCCTATTGCCATTGCCTTTGCTTTCGGTTCTCTTGGGCTCTTCGCAGAGGCCCCAGTTCGCTTAAATTGGCGGTCTCCGATTCATTCGTCCGTCAACTGCCGGTGCCTAAACGTTAGCAAGCTCTTAAAACCAGTCCAAGCTGAAAAAAAAACACTCTCTTAGCTTCTCGGCCTATCCAATCCTTTTCGGCGATACCTGATACTGATTTTGTGAGTTGAATTATTTTGGTGAAACTTGTTCTCATGCAATTGTTATTATTATTATTATTTGGTCTGGCTCTTGACTCGCTTGAGTTGGACAAGGCCAACCGGTTTGTTCTCATGTGTGTAGAGTGTGTGTGTGGGAAACCCAGGCCCAACTGCGTTATTAACATGGCGAATCACTGCTAATTAGACAGCAGAGTTGAAAGAGGTTAGAAATGTACAGTGCAGGTCAGAGGTGTAGTGGTTTTAGAGGGAAATAGTAGTTGTAAACAATAAATCCTTTAGGAATTAAAATTTTTTTTTTTTTTTTTTCGATTCCTTTTTAAGTCAGATAATCCTTAGAATATCCTAGGAAAATCCTACTTTTTAGGCAAATAATACCCATACCCATTTATTTAGTACTTTATATTCATAGAAATTTAGTAGTTACCATACCTCGTTTTCTCATCTCAAAAGCACCGTACTTTTTCCCCTCACTGTATGTGAATTGGGGATGACTTGCTCTACTTGTTGTTTGGTGACTCCGAATGTTTGATCCCCGATTAGTTTCCTGTTCTTCCGCAAAGAGCTCCATCATCGGAGCTTTATCATGGGCCATATCAGCGATATATGTATGATATGGCAGCGATACCAATTTATGCATACATCATAAAGCCAGTCACTTGAGATAGGGCTATCGGAACCGACTAGAACAGAGTGGAACACACGTTTACAGGTGTTACGCCGATGGTCTATGGTCTGTGGAAGTTTCCCCCGCCGTCTGGCTTTTCTTGATGACGTAGCACGGTTCGGGTTTCGAGTTGTGCTGAGTTGTAGTGACATTGAAGTGGGTCGGATGAGTCAATCGATCGGGGCCCGTCGCTAAGATCCGCTTTGTTGTGGCCAGGTAACCCTCGATGGTAATTAGTCTTCCCTCCCTCATTATTTGTCTAGATAATTGCACTGCAAATACAATTTTTACAATTACATATCTAATTTGAATAGAGACTTTTCGTACTAATTACTAATTACTTTTTATTAATAAATGTTAGTGATATCCAACTAAATAGTACTTCGATTTTAATTATAGTTCAGAAACTACCTTGGCTGGTCACAAATAATAATCCCAAATATCCCCCTGACGTACTCCACTTAGTTTGTACATTATCAGATCTGGGCTCGACTTTACTAAAGTGATATCACTATAAATTAATTGACATTGATCCTACTCATGTTTCATATAATCAGTTATATTATATTGTGCTTGCAAGTGCTTTTCCATAGATATTCGATAGGTTCTTAGGTTTCTAAGTCTTCTTGGAGCCCTTCTTGGCCGCCAGGAGCTCCAGGCGCGTGATGGCGTCGTCCAGGAACCTGCGCTGCTCCTGCAGCTGCGGCAGGAGCTCCTCGGCGCTGAGTGGCCGGGCGGGCTTGGCCGCTCCAGCCGATTTCTCCGACTCGGACCACCGGCTCCTAGGCCTAAGCATGTCCAGCACTCGCTTGATGATCGAGGGACTGGACCCCTGCTGCTGCTGCTGCTCCTGCTGGTGATCCTGCTGCTGATCACTCGCCACACTGCCCTGTGGAAACTCCGGCATGGTCAGCAGGGGACCCCAGAGAAAGGAACCCAGTCCGGGGGCGGCCGGCGGTGCTGCTGCTTCCTCCAGCTGCTTTCCCTGGGAGGCGAACCGCCCGTCCAGCAACTCCAGCTGGCGCTTCAGGTCGTCCAGCTTGTGCTGCAGGTGCTCAAAGTCGGCGGTCAGGTTGATGGCCAGCCTCTGGGTGGTGATGTCGCCCCTGGAGACTCCCTCCAGGCTGTCTATCTGCAGGCCCATCTGGTGGTCCCTCAGCTGCAGTTCGTCCAGCAGCAGCTGGGTTTCGGGTGCTCTGGGTGGCTGCTCCCGGAAGAGGCGGGCGATCTCGGCCTGCAGCAGCTGCCGGTGGCTGCGCAGCGAGCTGAGCTCCAGTTCCTGCAGGCTGCTCAGCTGCGAGCGAACTGATCCCAGTCCCAGGCCCACTATCACCAGCAGAAAGACTTCCAAACGCGAGCGAGGCATTTTCTTGACTGAGCCCCGAGATCTTCGATCTTTCTACCTGAGCAGCAAGCGGCGCTCGACTTTCCCCAAAGAAAAACTGGAAAATTTTTATGTGCCCCCCCTACACACTCATACATATTTGTGTTATCTATAGCCCTATCTCTAAAGCCCTTTCTCTCTGCCCCGCCAGGTGGTGCCGTGGGTTCGTACCAGTCCAAGTGCAGCAACCAAAGCAACCAGAGCAACCAGAGTCCCAGCACAACCATGTCGACGGAGGCCTCCTCGCCGGACGCGGAGTACACGGGTGCGGTGAACGTGGAGCTGAATGTGGCGGACCTCAAGGAGAACGAGATGAGGCAGGTGGACTTCGATGAGGACACCCGCGTGCTGGTGGTGAAGCAGAACGACCGCCTGCTGGCGGTGGGCGCCAAGTGCACCCACTACGGGGCTCCGCTGCAGACGGGCGCCTTGGGTTTGGGTCGCGTCCGCTGTCCCTGGCACGGCGCCTGCTTCAACCTGGAGAACGGCGACATCGAGGACTTTCCCGGGCTCGACTCCCTGCCCTGCTACCGCGTGGAGGTGGGCAACCAGGGGCAGGTGCTGCTCCGGGCCAAGCGCTCCGATCTGGCCAACAACAAGCGGCTGAAGAACATGGTCAAGCGGAAGCCCGACGACCAGCGGGTCTTCATTGTCGTGGGCGGCGGTCCCTCGGGCGCCGTGGCCGTGGAGACGCTGCGCCAGGAGGGCTTCACCGGCCGCCTGATCTTCGTGTGCCGCGAGGAGTACCTGCCCTACGACCGCGTCAAGATCTCCAAGGCCATGAGCCTGGAGATCGAGCAGCTGCGCTTCCGCGACGAGGACTTCTACCGCGAGTACGACATCGAGCTGTGGCAGGGCGTGGCCGCCGAGCGGCTGGACACCGCGCAGAAGGAGCTGCACTGCAGCAACGGCTATGTGGTGAAGTACGACAAGATCTACCTGGCCACCGGCTGCTCGGCCTTCCGGCCGCCCATTCCGGGCGTCAATCTGCAGAACGTTCGCACGGTCCGCGAGCTGGCCGACACCAAGGCCATCCTGGCCTCCATCTCCGCCGAGTCGCGCGTCGTCTGTCTGGGCTCCAGCTTCATCGCCCTGGAGGCCGCCGCCGGCCTGGTCGCCAAGGTGCAGAGCGTCACCGTCGTGGGCCGCGAGAACGTGCCGCTGAAGGCCGCCTTCGGGGCGGAGATCGGCCAGCGGGTGCTGCAGCTGTTCGAGGACAACAAGGTGGTCATGCGCATGCAGAGCGGCATCTCGGAGATCCTGGGCGACGACGAGGGCAGAGTGAGGGAAGTGGTGCTGCTGGACGGCTCGCGGCTGCCCTGCGACCTGCTCATCCTGGGCACGGGCTCCAAGCTGAACACCCAGTTCCTGGCCAAGTCGGGCGTGAAGGTGAATCGGAATGGGTCCGTGGACGTCACCGACTTCCTGGAGTCCAATGTGCCGGATGTGTATGTGGGCGGCGACATAGCCAACGCCCACATCCATGGGTTGGCCCACGACCGCGTGAACATCGGGCACTACCAGCTGGCCCAGTACCACGGACGCGTGGCGGCCATCAACATGTGCGGCGGCGTCAAGAAGCTGGAGGCCGTGCCCTTCTTCTTCACCCTGATCTTCGGCAAGGGCATCCGCTACGCGGGCCACGGCTCCTACAAGGAGGTCATCGTCGACGGCAGCCTGGAGGAGTTCAAGTTCGTGGCCTACTTCGTCAACGAGGCGGACACGGTGACGGCGGTGGCCTCGTGCGGCCGCGATCCCGTCGTGGCCCAGTTCGCCGAGCTCATCTCGCAGGGCAAGTGCCTCGGAAGGGGCCAGATCGAGGACCCCGCCACGCGGCAGGACTGGACCAGGAAGCTGGGCGAGCCGCTGCCCCAAGTTCGCTAGGAAAAATGAAGAAACACCTGTGTATTATCGCTGAGATTCGTTGTTAGATGTATGCATATTCATGCTATCGTTGGGTATTCATTATATACTCCTTATGCAAGGCACCTGCAAGGTGTCCAACCCCATCTGTGTATATTTATAATCGTAGTTGGCTAGTGACTCCCTGGAGTTCCTGCCGCGGCGGCCGCTTTTGGGCCCCCGAGAAGATCAAAGATTTAAGCTTTTTATCCCCTTGCCACACAATGTATTTCTTGAGTCATATTCGTTTATTTTTGCTAAATAAAGTGTTTTAACGATGTCGTAATTCCAGTTAAAAGGTGGCGTTTTTAATTGTGGGAGTTGCAACTAGACTCGGATTTGCATATTTATATTTGTCCGATTTTTACCAAAATTTCTAGGTAGGTGTCCTAAAATTTGGGAAAAAATTAGATATCTCAGAAATGACGAAAAGGAACAAACCATTTTCTTCGGGTAAATTACGTTGGCTATGAAATGGTCAATCTTGAATAGTTCAGTTTGTTTTATATTTTGCATATTTTATGCATATGCATTTTATGCAAAAAAAGAAAATACGCCATTAATTTTAAACTATATTTTTATTGAAACGAACTTTGGTGCTTTCGGAATTGATCTATCTTTATCCTATAAAAAGATGCAAATATGCAAAATCCGAGGTCTAGTTATAACCTTTCCTGGTTCTCAGGAACCTTAGCCTTCCTGTTCGTTTGGAAACTGTGTTTTTGTCGTACCTATAAACTCTCCTAGAGCTCAAGCCCCACTTGCTCCCTTTTTTCTACTCAACCCAACTGATTTACCCGCGTTTGCAGTCGAAATTCCAAATTAAGCACCGAGATGGCCTCTCCAGGTGGGAATCCCCAGCGATCCTGGCAATCGTGGCGCCTGCTCAACGAGGGCTTCAAGTTTTTCGCCACCAGGCTGGGCAGGAATGGTGGTATGGTATGGATTCGGATTCGGATTCGGGGAATAATCATTAAGATAAGCCCTTGATCGACTTACCTTTGGCAGGCTTTCAGCTGGGAGGAGTCCCTGGGCAGCAGCGTCGAGCTCCTCCATCAGACGACCGGCGCGACCAGATTGTCCCAGAGCCTGGCCGCCGCCCAGGAGCGCACCCAGGTGCTGGAGGAGCGGAACCGCAGGCTGAAGGATCTGGTGAGTGCTCCAGATCCAGCTACCTTATAGTAAATCCCCCTTCTAGGCGATGGACAAGTCGGATCTCTTCGAGTCGCGGGGCCTGATGCTGTGCTCCCGGGTCTTCGACCTCAGCCAGGAGCTGATCGTGACCAGGATGCGGATCAACGACTTCGAGAACGCCTGCACGCAGCTGCGAAGGTAACTGATTGGAAGGTATCTCGAATATCTTGTCCTAATCCCGGCTCCTCTTCCACAGGCGCATCTTGGAGCTGAAGCTGCGACGCGTCCAGCGCCGACGGCTCCTCTGCCACGAGATGCAGCAGCTGCGCCTGGCGCAGGAGCTCCAGGTGCCCCCCGTCCTGAGGCGCCTGTGGCACGGCCTCCGCTTCCTGTGGAACTGCGTGGAGTGCCTGGCGCAGGTGAGCCACGTGGCGCGTCCTCCTGGGAAGGCGGAGAGCACGATGGACGCCCTCAATTTGTTCGTGGCGGGCTTTTGACATGTCCTGTCTTGTCCGCCCAGCGGCTAAGTGTTTTACAACACTATCGAATAATTTGTTATATTTTAAATATTACATTTTACGATTGATTACGATGAAATGAAAATTGTGTTTAATTAACTAAATTGAATTACCACAAGACAATTCAAATCAATTTGATACTTCCTGGTTTATATGTATGTTTATGTTTTTATGCTAGCTATTTGTTTAATTGCTACTTATTATTTATTATTTAAGAAAATCACTGATCAATATTTTTAAAGAGCTTTTTTTAAATTTAGGGGACAACTGGATTATTTAGTGTAAAACCCCGTAATACGGTAACACCGATAGGCGCCAGCTAACCAATCGAAGGGCGATAGGCCCCGATAGGTTCAGACAAATAACGCCTCCCAGATATCGAAGAGCGATTCGCCCCGATAGGTTTCATTTTTTTGGTGCATTTTTGTTTCTTGTTTGTGCACGTGCGAAACGCAACGCGATTAAATGCGCCGCGCCTGAAAAAGGAGAGGAGCCCAGTGGACCGGAGGACAGGGACGCGGACAGCCATGGATCAGTTCTCGCACGACCTGACTTTGGCTCTGGACCTCACGCTGATGGACAGGGCGAGTGGCGTCGGTAGGTGGGGCTCCCGTCGCAGGACACGCTCCACGGGCAATCTGCGTAAGTAGTGCGATCCCAGCCGACGAATCTGACGAATCCCCGCCAGCGGTAACCCACCCACCCCCTCTGCTTAGCCTGCGCCCCCCAGCCCACGGAGGACTCGTCGAGCAGTCCCACGGACGCCCTCAACCAGGGGCACCATCACGGGCACCACCACGGCTACAACCACCACCACCACCAACACCACCCAAGTGCCAACGTGGACGGCCTGGACGCGCACAGCCTCAAGTTGCTGGCCAGCGATTCGGACGAGAAGGCGGAGGCGACGCTGCCGCTGCGACTGCCGCTGACTGGACGCACGGGCGCCCTGGAGTCGGACTCGCTCAACGAGACCACCTTCAGTCCGGCCAGGTGAGGTTGCTAGTCCTGCTCCCCTTGATAGCATTCTAAACCCTCGAAACACTCAGGTTCTACAAGCCCAACTCGCGCAGGAAGCGCAAGATCAAGCGCATGTCCATGGAGTTCGAGTTCAGCAAGGACACGCCGCACTCGTTCGCCGAGTCGCCGCTGCAGCCTGGCCTGCTAAGCGGTAGTGCCACCTCCGCCACCGGAACCATTCGCAAGCGCCTGCTGAAGACGGACGCCGCCGGGCACCGCTCGCATCTGTTCTTCTGCGGCAAGCGCAAGCGCTCCAACCGCGATCGCTACCACGAGCAGGAGGCGGCCAAGTTGTACGCCGCGCCACACGCGCCGGTGGACGAGCAGCAGCACCACCATCACCACCAGCAGCTGAGAATGCGCCCGCGCAGCTACTCCTCCACATCGAAGCCCCTCAGCGACCGCCTGCTGCCGCTGAACAAGGGGCTGCTCTCGAAGATCAACCGCATGGCTGCCCAGGGACAGCAGGCGGCGCCCAAGCAACAAAAGACTGAGAACCAGGACAAGGAGGAGCTGCCTGATCAGGCGGATGTGGCCAAGAAGCCCACCCCCACGCCCACGTCCGTCGCCCTGAGCTCCTTCAGCATGGACACCATAGTGCCTGTGACCGACATCGATGCCTTGCTGCTGAGCACACCGCCAGCGGCTCCGTTGCTGCGCAAGAAGACCGCGGCCCACAGCAGCAGCAGCGGCAGCTCCTCGAAGACGCACCGCCGTCGCCGCTTCCAAACGCTGCCGCAACCGCCGCTGCAGTTCCAGGCGCAGTCGATGGACTGCAGCGAGCTGTACGACTTCCTGAGCTCCAGCTCGCTGAGCTCCTCCTCGGACAGCGAGGCGGAGGTGGGTGGCCACCACCGGCGGCACGACACCGACCGCGAGGGCGACGACGAACTCACCGACTGGCCGGGCAACGAATTCGGGCCCGGGGCCAGGTACGATCCCAAGAGGAAGCTCACCAAGAAGTCGCTGCTGCCGCAGATCCGCTCGGACGACACAATTGGCGAGGACGACACCCTGATGTCCGGCACCGAGGCGGGGGCAGCGGAGCCGAAGTCGCCGGGACAGATCCTGCCGGAATCCCTGCAGGATCTGTCCCGCTTCCAGCCGGCCGGCGTCTCCGAGCCCATAGAGATTCTGAACGCCTGCTCGGAGATGGAAACGAATGCCGACGGGACGACCATGCCTGCCTCCCGGCAGATCGAGAGCGAGATGTCAGGCGAGACCTCGAATCCGTTCCTCTCCTCGTCGCCGCCGGGACAGGCGCAGGGGCAGGAGGTGCGCGAGATCCGCGCCGGCTGTCGCCGCATCAACGGCGAGCGGCCGGGCTTCAGCATCAAGAGGGGCGTCAACGAGCGCATCGCCCGGTTCCTGCAGGACCCGCAGCAGACCCACATCCGACTGCCCGACATCGAGCTGCATGAGCCCGACAGCATGTGCAACCTGGCCACGCTCTACTCGCTGACCATGGCCGTGGAGCACGGCTGCACGGTGCTGACCAAAACCAGGTGAATTGTCTGATGATGAAGCGTATCTTGATTTCTAACCTTTGCCCTCTTCCAGGAACACCACTCAGGCGGTGAGCGTGGATCATCTGCAGCAGGGTCTCCAGCCGCGTCCCGATCTCTTTGGCGATTTCAAGCGACGCTGCTACGGGGACGAGGAGGAGCAGCAGGAGCAGCCGGAGCCCCCGAAATGAGATGCATATAGATACAGAGATAGAGATACATTAATCAAAACAAGACCAATCCCCGGCGAATGCAGACGGAGTTAAACTCCTGGCGATCCCAGCCGAGTGCATCGCTGGGGTGGAAGAAACCCAACCCGTAAATTAAGAAAGCTTTTAGCGTGTTTTTGTGAAACCTGTTCCGTGTACATAGGTTGCCTCGGTCCGTGTATATACTAACTGGCTTCGTTTGGGGCGGGCGCAAGCAATTCGGATGAATGATACGGGATCCCAGATCCCAGGTACCAGATACCAGTTACCAGGTCGCGTCGCACTCTTGGAAGCAAGCGAGATGGCACGAAGTCAGAGCGACAGAGAGAGAGAGAGAGGACCGACCAGAAGCCGTTGGCAGACGTTCCACTGTACAAAATATATATTGTAAGACCTCCAGCGAATATGAATATAAGGAATAAATATGTGTGGTCATATCCGAATCGATGGGTTCTTTATTGTTTTGTGCTGTTAAAGAGATTTTTACCCAAACGATTCATATATGCATGTCGATATGGATTAAATTTTGAAATAGCCTGGGTTATACTGGTTTTAAGAACTTGGTTATGAAAGTTGCATAATGAAATTTAATATAAATCCTTTATTTATAAACTATTTATTTTATAAACTATTATTTTATAAACTATTTTTCAATTTATTAGTAGCTGATAAACGGGTAATCGGTTAACCGGTTGAATTGGAAAAATAGCTACCTACCGTTTTACCAAGAAATAACAGGCAGTTAAAATTCCTAGGCGAATGGCGGGCAGTTCAAATTCCTAGAAATTCTGGCGTCCAATTGCCACGAAAAAGTTGGCGCATGCCCGGTGCTCCATGCTGGGCAATCGGCACTCGGCACTTGGCAACCCTCGCTGCGTTTGGGGGTCGGAAAACGGAGGGGAGGGGGGCGAGTGGGCGGACCGGAGAGGCGGGTGGCAGACGAGCGCCGAGCTTGCGTCAAATGCGGACGCCAGTTGGACGCAGCTCGGGATTGGAGGCAGCCACGTTTCCCAGCCATCCGCCGTGTGAGTCGCAGCGACCGTGTTTGTGTGTTTTTTCCGTTCCGTGCCGCATCTGTGGCGTTCCGCGAACGGGATGTAAAGCGGATCTCCGCCAGCGTTCATCCTCTCATCGCCATCTACCGGATTCAGTTGCTCCGCCAGGGCTGAGGTCCCAGCTCTGCTCCTTTCCTGCTCGAAACTTCTTCAACTTCTTTGTCAGCCGGCGACGCTTGTGCTTTCTGCGCCACCACTGAATAACGGTAATTCGGGAGAGCGGTTTCGCATGCAGGGGGATTCCCTTGGATTCGGATTCCTGGTATTTGGTGTCTGGTGCTCGGTGCCTGCTTCTGCTGCACTGCATCCTAGCAGGGCGAGGGATTTCCATCATTTCCGCGATTTCCACGATGCGGCTGCTCTGCTTATTGATTTTTCACCAACACTCACGCACACACACACAGCCGCACTCGGGCACCCACACACGTACACCCACACACACAAAGACAGTGCTGGCACTTCGGCCATTTTGTGGCTGGAAAATAGCCATTTTGAAAAGGCGGAAGTGCAACTTCAGCCATTTTTGTCGAGTGTTTTAGTGCAAAGTTATCATTTTTCAGTATGCTAAATCTTTACTAGTGATTTTGAAACTCTTGAACGGTTCGGTGGAATATTCTTATAGTTCTTATAGCAAATAACAAAAAATATATTTTTACACAGGCAAGTGAAAAAGAATAGAAAAATCAATTTAAAAAACCATTTTTGGAATAGTGACAGCACTAGCCGAGAAAGAGAAAGAAAAGGCGAAGGAGAGAGTGCGGCTTTGCTGGCTTGTAACGTCCGAAAGCCATACACATACACACGCAGATAGCTGAGCTAATCTCTTATCAAGGGACGACTATACTATCCCTCCCCCTCACCCTTAAGCTACCACCCCTCTGCGTTGCACTTACAGGGGAAAAAACACAACATTAGTCATAAATTTGAAATTTTCTGCAAACTTAATCGCGAAATCAAGTCAGTTGGTCTTTGGTAAAAGTTTATTTTTACAATCCTTAGTTCTTAACTATCTATATATGTATGTATGGTTTTTCCTGATTATGACTTGATCTTTTCTGAACTAGTTTACAGAAATAAATCCTTTTTTTTTACTGATTAGATTTGGATAACTATTGAATATATGACACAAGACAATTATAAAAAATTAGTATGGTAACTTAATTAATCAATAATTAATTAATATATATTTTCTCTCTGTGTAGAAGCACTGCCATGGGGCAGGAGATGTGTGCGTTCCGTGTGAGCATGTGCATCATCATCTCGCTGTCGATCGGAATCGGAATCGCAATCTCAATCTCCCACTCTCCCGGGCACTCGCTCTCCGTGTGAGTCTCCATTTCCCCGCCCAGGGTGGCGCAGTTGGAAAATGAGCGCGTGCGAGGCGGCGGCCGCCGGCAAGGAGGATGGGCTCCCGACCCATGCCAAGTGCGAGGCCAAGGAGAGCCAGCCGCCGGAGGATCAGCAGAAGAAGCAGCAGCAGCCGCAGGAGAAGCACGAAAAGCACGAGAAGCACGAGAGGCACGAGAAGCATGAGAAGCAGGCGGAGAAGCAGGAGCAGCTTCCCCAGAATGGGAGCACCGAAACGGAGGTTGCAGAGAAGCCCAGCCAACTGGAGGCCATCCGGAGCTCCGTTCTGCTGGACGGAAGTGCGGCTGCTCCCTCGATAGACGCACTGGTGGCCTGCAAGGATGCCCTGCTCGCCCAGAAGCTCTTCGCTGCGGCCGGACCCAGTCCCACCTCCTCGGCGATGGGACCCGGCGGCGTCTCCGGCAAGGAGCTGCTCAAGCTCAAGGAGCCCATGCGCGTGGGCTTCTACGACATCGAACGCACCATCGGCAAGGGCAACTTCGCCGTGGTCAAGCTGGCCCGCCACCGGATCACCAAGAACGAGGTGGCTATCAAGATCATCGACAAGTCGCAGCTGGACCAGACGAACCTCCAGAAGGTCTACCGCGAGGTGGAGATCATGAAGCGCCTGAAGCATCCGCACATCATCAAGCTCTACCAGGTGAGCGGATCTATGCCTTAATTTAATACTTATCTAATGAGTACTTGTCTTACAGGTTATGGAGACCAAGAATATGATCTACATAGTGTCGGAGTATGCCAGCCAGGGCGAGATCTTTGGTGGGTATTTAGGTTCTAGGTTCTATTATTCCTAAGGCTTTGAAATATTTGTAAGATTACTATCTTAATAAGTATATCTATCTTAAAAACTTTAATATGGTCAGTTATACCTTCGAAAGTTATATCTTTTTCATCTTATATCTAACTAACTTATAAATAGAAATCGGATTTTAGGTGAAATCGATTTTTTAAATATGATTTAAGGCCACATTTGATTGGTTAATATTTTTTTACAAAAACCTCAATTAAGTTTTGCCAAAATATATTTATAACTTAATAAATAAAATTTGTAACCAATCAAATGTGGCTTTAATCGTATTTAAAGAAAACGATTTCACCTAAAATCCGATGTCTACTTATAAAACTAACTAGAAATGTATATTTCGAAACTTTAGAAAGTATACGTTCAATTTTATAAGGGCTGTTTAGCTAAGAAATGCGAGGGATTCAAATGAAATCCAAATAAATAATATTAGTAATAATATCCATAAGTAAACAATAAGTAAAGCTTAGGAATTCCAGTGAATCAAAGGTTTTCCCCTATAATAATACATTGTAAGCCTGACTAATATATTATATAAAAACTAAGGAATTCAATAATAAGTATGTACCATCCATACAGACTACATAGCCAAGTACGGCCGGATGTCCGAGTCGGCGGCCCGCTACAAGTTCTGGCAGATCATCTCGGCGGTGGAGTACTGCCACAAGAAGGGCATCGTGCACCGCGACCTGAAGGCGGAGAACCTGCTCCTGGACCTCAACATGAACATCAAGATCGCGGACTTTGGCTTCTCGAATCACTTCAAGCCGGGCGAGCTGCTGGCCACCTGGTGCGGATCGCCGCCCTACGCCGCTCCCGAGGTCTTCGAGGGCAAGCAGTACACGGGTCCGGAGATAGATATTTGGGTGAGTGGCGATTGTGGCTTCCGGATAATAGATTCCTGACCTGTAACTTACCATCCAAAGTCCCTGGGCGTGGTGCTCTATGTGCTGGTCTGCGGGGCCCTGCCCTTCGACGGCTCCACGCTGCAGAGCCTCCGGGATCGGGTGCTCTCCGGCCGCTTCCGCATACCGTTCTTCATGAGCTCCGAGTGCGAGCACCTCATCCGGCGCATGCTCGTGCTGGAGCCCACGCGGCGCTACACCATCGAGCAGATCAAGCGGCACCGCTGGATGTGCCCCGAGCTGCTGGAGCACGTCCTGATAGCCAAGTACAACCTGGGCGCCGAGCGGCAGGCGGCCCTGGAGCCCAGCGAGGACATCCTGCGCATCATGGCCGAGTACGTGGGCATTGGGCCCGACAAGACGCGGGCCAGCCTCAAGAAGAACACCTACGACCATGTGGCGGCCATCTACCTGCTGCTCCAGGATCGCGTCAGTCACAAGAAGGAGCAGAGCAATGGGTCAACTGCCTCCAGTCGGATGCTCTACAAGAGCACCAAGATCGATCAGCCTCCCCAGCATCCCCAGCAGCAGCAGTCCAAGACAATATCCACCAGCTCGATCCTGGCCAAGGATCAGGCCCACAAAAGACTTAGCCGCCACCAGACGGTGCTCATGAGTGAGCGAACCACGCCCACTGTCCCGGATCCCGGCTACTACGCCAAGTACGGCCCCCTGCAACTGCCACTGCCCCACATGGCAGGGTATCTCAACGGAGGAGGAGGAGGTCCCCCCGTGGAGGTGGATGCCGCCGGAATGGCCCTGCCCATGCGGTACACGCCCCTGCCGACGGCCGCCTCGCCCGCCCCCTCCAACTGCTCCTCCTCCGCCTCCTCGCGGGTGGGCCGGCACAGCCTGAGCTCCAGCTCGCCCAGGAGTCATCGCCCGGTGGCCATTTCGCTGAGCATCGACCACAATCCCTCGCTGGCCAACCTGCGGTGCCGGGAGATGATGATGGAGCAGGGAGGAGCAGGAGGAGGAGCAGGAGGAGCAGGAGCACCGGGAGTGCCGCTGGTGTCCAAGCAGCTCCACCAGACCATCAGCGAGTACATCATCAAGCAGAGCACCGAGGACTGCCGGGCGCTGCTGCAGCAGGTGAGTTGCGTGACCTATAAATCCAGTTATGTCACCCAGCTAATCTGGAAACCACAGTCCACAGCGGTGGCCGAGGGCAAGGAGGAGCCGCCGGCGAAGGGGGAAGCAGCTGCTCCCCCTGCCGGCACCACCACGCCCACCACTTCCACTTCCACCTCCACCCAGGGACCACCGGGATCGGGCTCCTGCCCCGGCGAGATGAACAGCGGCAGCGGCAAGACAATAAAGGCCATGTCCAGCTCGAGCAGCTTCGACTCCAAGGCCAATCTCGGCCAGAGCTTCCGCTACAAGATGTCCGCGGAGGCCAGCAAGCTGTTCCAGACCCTCCAGGAGAGCCCGCTGCCCGTGGAGGTGAGTGGTGATCTATAATCTATTATCCCTGACTAATCTAATCCCCTCCAGCAACGGGCCAAGCGACGTGGCCAGGTGGCCAGTACCAACGGCAGTGGCGGCGACTCTGGCCAGGAGACGAACGAGCCGAAATCAAACGGGGAGCGGCAGGAGAAGAAGGTGCTGGCCCAGGGCAGCTCCAGCACGGACGAGGGCTGCGAGACGGACCAGGGCAACGAGCCGGGCTCCGCCTCGCAGGAGTCAAAGGCCGCCAGCGGTGGACCCACCTCGCACTCCAGCAGCGATCTGACCCACCTGGGCGGAGCCACTGCCTCGGGGCAGAGCCACCGGATGCGCTCCTATGCCAGCAGCAGCTCCTCCAGCGGCGTCCTCGCCGGCAGTGCGGGCAGCTACTCGAAGAGTCTCAGCCAGAATTTGAGTCGTGGCTCCTCGAAGAGCAACTGCAGCGCGCCCTACGACAGCCTGGACTTCGCCCTGCCCTCCGGCAAGGGCAGCCTGCCCTCGTGCATGGGCTCCAGCTCCATGCTGGCCACGCCCACGCCGGCCTCCGCCTCGCCGGCGGCCATCTCCTCGGAGCATTCGTCGGAGAGGTCGCTGTACGGGAGCCACAGCTCCTGCATCCACATGCCGGGATTGGGATTGGGAATGGGATTGGGATTGGGTCTGCCGCAGAGCTCTGCCTCCACGCCCACGCCGAATCCCACGCCACCGCCCCCGCAGCCCAACGGAGGCGGAGTGCCGTTCCTGGACAAGCGATCGCCCATTCACTTCCGCGAGGGACGACGGGCGAGCGACGGGCTGGTGGCCCAGGGACTCCTCAGCTCCGGCTCCCTGCTGGGCACCAGTCGGGTCTACGGAAGCTATCGCTACGAGCAGGCCAAGCGGCACGGCTGGCTGGAGATCCAGCAGCTGCAGCAGGAGGCGGCAGTGGGTCATCCGCATCCGCATCACCATCCGCAACACCATCCTCATCCTCACCAGCATCCCCATCCGCATCCACAGGCCTACGGCTTGGAGGAACTCTGTCAATTTCCGAACGGTCAATTCTACGCTCTGCCCGGCAAGCATCATCCGCTGCTGACGCTGCCCCACCACCATGGCCAGCATCCTGGCCAGCACCTCCATGGCCACCAGCACCCGCTGTTCCACGCGGGTCACCAGGCCACGCCCCTGCTGCTGGAGGCTGTTCCCGGTGCCGGGGAGGTGTACGGCCATGGCTGCTATGCTCCGCCACCGCCGCCACCGGGTCTCTATCCGCATCATCCTTTGGGCGTAGGTGTGGGCGTGGCCGTGCCCATGTCGCCGATGCAGAAGCCACCGCTGCAGCAGCAGCTCCTGCAGCACCGCCTGCTGCAGCAGAAGCGCCAGCTCTTCCAGAAGCAGTACGCCCTGGAGGCCCAGCTGGCCAGTCGTCATCATCATCAGCATAGTCATCACCAGCAGCAGCACCACTTCAACCACAGCCTGGGGCATCCACCTCCGCCGGCTCCTGCACCGGAGCACCATCACCACCACCACCTGGCCGACGAGCTGTACGAGTTGGCCCTGCTCGAGCGACCCAGGAGCGGAACACCCCGGCTGCAGCACTCCATGACCATGCCGGGAGCGCATGCCTTCAGCCAGATGAACCTCAAGACCTCCTACATCAGTCAATCGGATCAGCCGTCGAATGGAGGTGGTGGTGGAGGAGGAGGAGCTAGTGGTTCCGGGGGAGGATCTGCTGCATCCGGGGCCTCCTGCTCAGCGTCTCCGTCCACCGCGCCGGGCACGCCCACGGTCAAGTGCAAGCCGAGCACGCCCCACGGGCACAGCCTGGAGTCGGACTATCATGTAAGTGAATACCAGACGTCTAATAACTAGTAACCCTAGTTTATAACCCGATCCTTCCTCCCCAGACATCGACGCCCGTGCTCAGCCTGTTTGCGCCCAACTGGCAGTCGCTGGTGAAGCCGCTCAGCGAGAGTCCCATCCTGGAGATATCGGAGCACCTGGAGTCCGTCTAGGGAGCAGATGGCATGGGGATGCATCCAACTAACGGGGACCGCGTCGGGGTCACCTTTTTATTAAGCTCGCATTCGCAATTACGAATTATTTGATCCATATACGATATACACCCACATACATACATATACATAGCCTATACAAGTTCGTATACCTAAACAGATATGGATGCGGATTAGGATTGGGATGAGGATTTCATCGAATCAAGCTAACCGATCCGAACCGTAATATTGGAAGATTTAGTTGTGTTACTAGCCTTAAGTAGTCCAAGTTTCGTACGCATACACGCAGACATATACAATATGTATATTGATAATAATAGCGTTAAGCTATAGCTCTACTTATGATTACACTATACACTATACACTATTGTATTGCCCCCGCGACAGGACAGTCGGAGTTCGGAGTTCGAAATTCGGAGTTCAGAGTTAAGAGTTCAGAGTTCAGAATTCAGAATTTAGAATTCGGAGTTGGGTGGATGAGAACAACGTAACTACATATATCAATTATTCGAAGCATTTATTGGGGGCATAGATAGGGTATATCCATATATGGATATATCTATTATGTATTGGTACAATAATTAGCGACAAGCAAAAAAAAAAAAAAAAAGAAAACAAAACTAAAACAAACAAACATCGATTGTTCTTAAACATGGAATTCAAATGTAAACCAGATATTAAAGTCATTTGGTATAAAATGCAATACGCTTCTGGAGTTCCTACATTAGATGGATGTAGATATGGACATGGATGGGTGATCTGTGCTTTCGTGGGTGTGACTAGACGACTAGAAATCGTGTTTGGAGGCACAAGGATCAGGGGATCGTATTGTGAAGTGGAGTTTCTTACTCTCTCATCATAGAGACACAGAGTGGTATATCAAATCCTGCTGGGACGGAGGACGAAGAAGGTGCTAGCGTTAGATTCAAGTCACGTCTTCACCTGGCGATTGGACTCCATGTGCTTCCGCTTGGCATGCGCCTGGTTGCGCTGCTTCGGGGACTCGTAGGATCCGTGGCAGCGCAGCAGGTTCCAGTAGGCCCGGCGGTATTCGGAGCTCATCAGGACGTAGATCAGCGGATTGATGCAGGTGGTCAGGTAGATGAGCAGGTAGCCGGCGATGTTGAACCAGTGCACCTCGGTGGCGCTCTTCCAGATCTTGGCCACCGTGATGGGCAGGTAGCAGATGACGAACCACACGAAGATCACCAGTATCATCTTGAGCAGCCGGCGGTCCTTGGCGCTCATCCGGCCCGGATAAATTGAGGAGGCGTTCGAGGTGTTGCCCATGGAGGCGTAGTGCGACTTCCGCGGACTGAACCGCGTGAAGGAGGTGCGCAGCGAGGTGGTGATGGGGTGGTTCTTCCTGGAAGAGAAGGTTTGATGGCTGACATTCGGCAGGGACCCTTTGCTATGCTAACCACTCACCCGCCCATCTTGCCCAGCTCCAGCTGCGTCTGACTGCGTCCCAGGCTGGTCTGCTCCTTGAGCACCACATTCGCATCCACCGGGGGCTGCTGCTGCTCCTCATCCCTCCGCCGGATGCTGTACGAGATGGGCAGGCTGTCGGCCGAGGCATTGTCATCGATGTACGCCAGCTGCTCCTCCACCACAAAGGGCCTGGCTCCTCCTAGAGTCGCCTCCTGGGCCTCTCCGCTCGAGGAGCTCACCTTCTCCGGCCTCCTCTGCATGGCCATGGCCATGGTCTGCTGCTGGTTGGTGGAACTGGGCGTCACGGTCACGTCGCTCACATTGCTCTTTCCAGCTCCCGCCCGCATGGCCGCCTTCCGCACCAGCAGGAAGATCCGCGCGTAGCAGATCACAATGCAGATGCAGGGCAGCATGAAGGCGGCGATGAAGAGGAACTCCTTGGGCGACCTGCCGTACTGGTCGTGCAGGATGGAGCACGACCCGATGCTCGCGTCCAGGCCAAAGATGCCCCACACGCCCCGCCAGGTGGGGATCATGATGGAGAAGGTGGTCACCCAGGTGCCGGCCACCATCAGAGCCAAGTACCTTCGCTGGTAGATCCTGAAAGATGGTTATTGTTATGGTATAAATGGTATAGTGACAGTGAGCAACATATCTAGAGTTATTCCTTCAATAAGTTCATGACTTTTAAGGTTAGTGGTTATTTTTTATTTTTTTTTAAATTTAATTTTGGTTTTATTTTTTTCTAACGCTACAAGTACAAAAAATACTTATAAATTAAAGCGCTAGTCACAATTTGTCAGATTCATGAACATAAATAAATTTCTCAACTACATTGTTCTATTGCAATTCATTTATAATTTAATAATATATTTGTTTATTGTATCCCAGCGTTGCAAGTTTTAGAAACTCATGAATAAATATGCTAGTCACTACGTGTTGAAAGTCATATGTAATTTAAAGCTGACAATATTTCTTAAAAATAGTACATAGTAGTTTACAAAGAACTTAATTAAAAAAAAAAAAAAATCATCAAATAGTATCAAGTAGACCTCGTTGACCCGGCTAAAGTCAATTATCTTCTCTCTTTTAGTGAATTAAAATATTTCTTAAAAATACTACATAGTAGTTTACAAAAAAAGACTTACTTCAAAAAAAAAAAAAAAAAACCTACATCAAATAGGATCAAGTAGACCTCGTTGACCCGGCTAAAGTTAATTATCTTTTCTCTTTTAGTGAATTAAAAACCCCCAAATCCCCTCTTCATAAACACCTAACCCAATGTTTATCTAAATGCAGAAAATCCATGGGAAATGCGTGGGTTCTAACACATTAAGTGGGAGGTTACCAAAGGTAGAAAAGCTAGCTCACCTTGGATACTGCCTGGGATGGGCGATGATGATGTACCGGTTGATGGTGATCAGCGACACGGAGAGCAGCGAGACCGCCAGCAGACCATAGCGCAGCATCGGGAAGAGCCTGCAGAGCAGATCGCTGTGCGTCCAGGCCCGCTCCATGAAGGTGGAGGCGGCCAGCGGGAGGTTGAAGCAGCCGAAGAGCAGGTCGGAGCAGGAGAGATTGATGATGAAGATGGCCGTCGAGTTGCGGGTCTGGCGGCCCCGGGACAAAGCCACGATGGTCAGCAGGTTGCCGGGAACGCCCACGATGATGAACACGATGCAGGCCACCCAGGCGATGGTCAGCAGCTCGTCCGAGTAGCCCTCGAAGAGGACCTGCCGTCCCCCGTCCCCGAGGTCCCCATCCAGGTCGAGGCCGTCTCCCAGGTCCTGCGGATGCGGCTGCGGATGCGAATGCGGATGTTCTGCCGGAACTGAAAGCGAAATCGGAAGCGGACTCTGATTCAGATTCTGGCCGGGTGGGAACATCGCGTGGCTGTGGCACTTTGTGGTCGGCAAGAGGGCGCGTTGCTCGTTCCTGCGCCGAATTTGTACTAAAACTGAATTCTCCGCATTCACACATCCACATTGTTCCCACCCAAAAGCCAAAAAGTGGGCCCGAAGGCAGCCGCCGCCAGCCAAGCGTACAAAATATTGAGAAAAAAGACTAAACTGAAAAAAAAAAACAGAAATCAGAAAACAGAACAGCAGGCGAACTAGAAAAACTTTCGAAAAAAGGAAAACAAAAGAATATCTGAGCAGAGCAGCAACAACACACATTTTTATTGTATACAACAATTGACTTCATCATCGGGTAATTTGGTAATTTGCCTGTGGAATGGGCGCTTTGTTTACATTGTTCCTATTCGGTGTTGTTTCTTTCGCCGCCACCCCCCACCCCCTCGCTCCGTGGAACCCACTCCGCCCACCGCCCACCGCCCCCGATCGCCGAACTTTCGTCGATATTCTGACGGGGTCATGTTGCTGTTGTTGCCGTTTTTTGGAATTTCCAAATACTAAAACCAGGGCTGCCATCGCTTAGAAGTGCTTCATTTTCGAAATATTTGAATTATTCAAAAATGAAGCTTGGGGTTTAGGATCTATAATAGTTTTTGAAAGTAAAAAATAAACCATAAACACAAAGTTACAGTCCCTTAAAATGTTATGCTTATCAGAAACACTCATTCGCCATAAGGAAAATCGAAGTTTAATTGCTAATATAGTCACGTTTGTCAGTTGAGTAAACAGAATTGAAAACGTGCTTTTGTAAAGTTTGTATATTTTTATAATTCTATTTTAATTCCACTTTCCGTTTTATGTGTTCTGAATTGATACTCTGATAGAATGCTAAAGGTTTATCCCAAATAGTTCCCATCCGCAGCCCTGATTTCAAGGCGTACGCACCTCTCCGGGCATTTTCGAAACTGAAAACTTTTCGGTTCTTGGGCAGTGCGTGTGTGTGTGTGGGTGCATAGTTTCCTCTGGCAATTTTCTGGATAATAAATGGGCAGCATCCATTCGGATCGGGGAACTAGCCACTAGAAACTTATGCGAGACTCACTCGAAATTATTGTGTTCGACTGTGTACATTGTGCACAGATCGAATCTATGCGAGCAATAAAAACACACTCATGGGCCGCGGAGCCTGAGTCATTACTATATAGTAATAATGCTGCCCCCATAACCCTTCAAGGAAAGTGACTCAAACTGGGGTCACACGACGTCAGAGTTTGGATCGAACGTAGTCTTAATTAATCAAGTCCATTTTTCTATTTTTCTACTTTTCTACTTTTCCGAGGGTCAGAGTGCGGGTCGTCTGTTGGGCAAATTGAGTATCGTATCGCTGCCTTTTGAAAAGGAAAAACAAGCGGTTCAGTTCGGGGAAAACTCTTTGGCAACGGCACGAATACGAATACGAATACGAATTCGATGTTTGTTTTCATGCAGGCCAGTAGTCCGGGAATTGCAGTAGACTACACAGAAAACATACAGTTTCCGGGGAAAGTGTAGCGCATTATCGAATTCACTTTAATTACAAGTAATTGTTAACCATTAAGTCCCTAGAAGTGGATCAATTTGTAAGAATAATAAGAATTTATTATTTATTTACAGGACCTTTCGTGGGTATTAAACCAGAAACTCCAGTTGGGTAACCAAGATCTGTTCTTAAATTACTTTCTAAAATGATTGCAATTGTTTACTCTGCTATTTTTCCGACCCACACTGTACGTGGAAATGCTTACGGAATGGGCACTAAAGTGGAAACTAAAGCTTCCCCGGCCATTGTGGATGTGATTGTGAATACGAATCGAACGCCAATCGACGTCCGCCCCCCCTCGTCGCGGTCCTTGGTTCAGATCCAGAGTAATGTAAACTTCTCCGGCGCACTTATACGCATACGCACACGCACGGGCCTATGTTTAGATAGCCATAAACCATAAACTATCGTGTTCTTCACACAATCCGCAGCAAACAACAAACAAAGCGAGTGCACACAAATCGCTACGTCTTCAGTTCGATATCTGCACGGGGAAAAAAGTGATCCTAGGTGTTAAATATGAAAGATCATTATACGAAATTTAATATAAAACCCTTGATATGTATATCTAAACTTTTTAATATAATTCTTTCTTTTTACAAATTTATATTTGTTTTTATCACAAACTGAGGACCATAGACCCCGCATTCTCGCAGTGTATCTGGGATCGCCTCGATCGATGTCGAATGTCCAATTGTGTAAACATTAGAATGCAGACACATGAAGCCTTATCAGTTGTTGCTGCAACGCGTTGTTGTTCCTCATGTTGCTGCTGCCGCTGTTGCACATTTGCTTCTGTGGGGCACAATAAGAAGAGGGAGGGGGAGGAGGAGAAGCGGCATATCTGCGATATGCATCGGATCGGCAATCACTGAGCATTCGAACTGCTCTAACCCATCCCACGCCCGCCCCTCGATCGTCCGTCTGTCTGTCTGTCCCTGTCTGTCGCACTGCCTCTCCACCGCGGCGGGTGAGCGAGCGAGAGAGAGAGCAGCGGAGAGCGCCAAGTCATGGGGGCAGCTCAGGGGCATAGCGAAGGGGGATCAATTAGAAAAAATGTTTGTTTGACAGAGTGAATGAGAGAAGGAGAGGTGCTTATAATTTAAGCACAATCTCCAATCGAGGGATTAGAGCCCCCCGGGTCTCTGGGCCGTCTACGCCCCTGGGCGGCGGCAGAGAGACAGTTAGACAGTGGCCGAGAGTGAGAGTGAGAGGGCTCCTATTTGTCAACTGGCAATATCGCGACTCGGAACTCGCAACGCTGCTCTGCCCGCACTCGACGAACTGCACTCGATCCGGCAGTTATGTTATTGTTATAGACGATCCGACACGATCCGATCTCGATCCGATTCAATCCAATCCGAGAACGCAGGCGCTACGCAATTTGTCCGTTACATTTGACCACTTCGAACTGTTCACGCAATTCGAGTAGTAAACAATTAAGAAGCAACTCCGATTTCAATTCGATTCGAGTGACATTCGAGATATCGCGAGCGTGTGCCCTTTTTTTTTTTAATTTCTTTAACCTTTTTGTTGCTGTGATAATGTCGTGTGCTGAGTTGGGGCAACCTGTAACCCCTTTATTCTCTACCTGATCTCGCGAGCCAAAAGTATTAGTCATGAAAGCCGGGGCGGCTTTTGAATCACCAACGGCAATAGCAATAACAATAACAAAAATAAACATAAAAATAAAAAGCAGCAGCTTCAGTGGCGTCCCCGCAGCAACAACAGCGATTAATGAATAACCCCAGTGAATGCCGAGTGCCGTAAACTGTTTACATTGCTCACAGCATTACTCACTCACTCACTCACCTCGCTCAACCTGGGCGAAGAAGAGGAAGAGTCGGAGTTGGAGTCGGAGAGGATTGAAGAGTGGAGAGTGCCGGGTGCAGGGTGTAGAGTGGAGAAAGAAAGGGGAGGAGTGAAGCAGAGATCGCAGCTGCACTAGTTTCGATTACGTGAGCAGAAAATAAATAAACAAGCGATTTCGATTTCCCCATTACCCAGACCCATCCCCATACCCATACCCATACCCACTTACCACCACTACCATCTCCTCCTGACCACTGATAAGGGAAACTAGAGGAGAGAGCGGAGAAAGCGAGGAGAGAGCAGCGAGAGCGAGGCGATCGTTAGAATCGCCGAGGATTACCAAATAACACAACCAAAAATTCAACCAGGTAAGTACCGTTTCGAGCCGATAAGATAACGGGAATATTCTAAATTCGTTAAAGAAAGAGGGCCAGACAGATTGCGTATATGCCCCATTGCGCCATGCCAAACGGCAGCCATGACCTGGACAGGGTTAAAAATGCAAATGGGGGGGAAAAAAAGGGAGGCACTACACAGAAAATAAATTCGTTACACAATCGAGATTAAAGTGATTCTGTTGCGAGCAGCGATGTTCGGATCTTTAATCAACAATACATTTTCCCACTATTAATATTTAACGTATACTGCGAAATCTGAATAGATTAAATCAGCAAAGGTTATACACGGCGAATAAAACGTTAAGGTGAAATCATTGAAAGATCTAAAAAAAATAAGTGCTCTAAAGAACCTTTTCTATTTTCAAATGATAGATAATCTAGATATGAAAGTTCAGCACGACAATTCCTATTGCAACCCCTTCTCAGTGCAGAGAGCGGTACAAGAACATAACACTTGTCTCGATTAGCGACCACTCGAGCGGAGAACAGAGCACTTCTCCTTCTCATCGCATCCCATCGCACATTAGAGACGCCCAGAGACGCCCGTCTCCATCTCCGCCAAACAGTCAAACAGTCAAACAGTCACTCAATTAATTAAGGTTCGACGCTGATCTTTGCACCCCAAGTGGTGCAGATGCCGCTGAAACTACTGCCGCCGAGCAACCGAAAGCGAAACAGAGACGAGTGTGACCTCTTTAAATTATTTAATTGACACTAATTTATCATAGTATCCCGAAGAAGGGGTGCCACGCCCCACTCGGACTCCGGGTGGCGGGCTACTTACTTACGGGTTACGAGTTGCGAGTGACGCGTTACGGGTGCTGCGTCGGCGCAACGTGCAGTCAGCACTCGGTGGCAGTTTGTTGTTTTTTTTTTTAACCGAACCAGAGCCTGAGCCACTCAAGTGCCACTGCCGCGGCCAGTTGGCAATTGTCGGCGGTGGCGATTGGTGTTCAGTGTTCAGTGATCGGCGATCGGTCAGCAGTAGTAGTAAGACTCCCTCGATCTTCCAATAAGCCAATATGCACTGTACTTAGTGACTAGGACATATTTTTTTAAGTGTGCCAACCTCAAGATCCTTTTGATCGAGTGAACTATTCCCCTGATAAAAAGCAAGTGTATCAAAAAACTATAAAGTGAATGAGATAAGAGCTTAATTAGCGGTGATCTCAGTTCTTAAGAATCGAAAGCGCGCATCATAAATCATAAAAATCTTTTAGTCATAACCAAACATCTCTGAGATATCCTAAGCCATTTCTAGATCCTTCTTATCTCCATGTCGTGACCCTTTTCAAGTTAATCCTTGCATTGCAAACATACAATGAATCAGCCAAAGAATAAACATAGGAAGAAGAAAGAGGAATGCGAGATCCCAATTCAACGATCCATCATTAGTTACTGGCTTACTGGACTTAAGAAACCGGAACTGATTCCATAACAACCCCCAAACATTTGCCAACCAACTGATAACCTTGATGGTCGTGATTTTGTCAGCGTTGATAACGTTCAAGTTCATCGCACTCGAGAAGAAAGTGTACCTCAAACATAATTACAAAATCAGGGGAATATTTGGTTAAGACTCAATAATTGTTGTGTATTCTGTACATCAGCATTTTATTCTACAGCTATAGCTTGTTCTAGGAAGTGAGAATGAATCATGTGAAGAGAAAGCACTTGATTGGAGAGTGCATCAATCTTAATAAGGGCGATCCTTCATTTGATGACACTTACTCACAGTCTTAGAGATCATGATCTAAGGCCACTATATCATGATCTTTACGATGCGTTAGTCACAGATGGGATCCAGCTTTTTCCCAGGTCCATCTGTCGCTCATCTTTAATTGGATAGCACTCTAACGAAGCCCCCTTCCCCCATCTCCACCCCTCTCTTCCAGAAGAATGAGTGACGAGACGACTATTAGCCTGGACGGCAATGGCTATCCCCCCCTGGAGGCACTGACGACAGCTGTGGCTCCGCCGGCGGACGCAAGCGGGTAAGTTGCGCCAAGTGGGTGCCAAGTGAGATGTAGCTATCAGCGGCCACTGGGTAATTATAGCCCCCGGCTGGGGAGAGGTCCGATAAGAGATCGTTAATATTACGCGCTCCATTGCACCAGTGGTGATCGCCGGGCCGGTCCGTCCGACTGACAAAGACGGTCGATTCTTGTGCGAGTCAGTAGTAAGTGGCCAGCGGAAGCCAGCCTAGTGATATGGTGATAGCCAAAGGTCGCGAGATCTCAGACTGGGCGGACCTCTTCTGTGGGAGCCTTGAGATAGGCGGAAGAAGTGCCATCGATTGGAGAAATCTTAATTCAGTTAAAATCATTCCAGCTTCACACAGTCGCTGCTGACCTTTGCCGCGGTCATGACCTTTCTCATAATGGTCGTCGGCATTTGCGGCAACCTGTTGACCGTGGTGGCCCTGCTGAAGTGTCCCAAGGTGCGGAATGTGGCGGCCGCCTTTATCATCAGGTGAGCCATCATTTCTCAGCTCATAAGGAACCAGCTAACCTCTTGACCTCCTCCATGCAGCCTCTGCATTGCCGACCTGCTCTTCTGCGCCCTGGTCCTGCCCTTCCAGGGTCTGCGCTTCATCCAGGGCACCTGGCGACATGGCGAGGTGCTGTGCCGCCTGATTCCCTTCATCCAGTACGGGAACATCGGCGTGTCCCTGCTGTGCATCGCCATGATCACGATCAACCGGTACGTGATGATCACCCACCACGGGCTGTACGCCAGGATCTACAAGCGCCACTGGATCGCCGTGATGATCGCCGCCTGCTGGCTCTTCTCCTACGGAATGCAGCTGCCCACGCTGCTGGGCGAGTGGGGTCGCTTTGGCTACGACGCCCGGCTGCAGACCTGCTCCATCATGGAGGACAGCCACGGGCACAGCAGCAAGACCACGCTGTTCATCACCGCCTTCGTCATCCCCTGCCTGGTGATCATCGCCTGCTACGCGAAGATCTTCTGGGTGGTCCACAAGTCGGAGCAGCGCCTGAAGCGGCACGCCACCAAGCAGAACTCGATACCCAACAACCTGCGCCCGCTGGCCAGCAGCGGAGGATCGGGGGCGGCCCTGCCCTCGGTGGCCGAGTGCCAGCCCAGCAACCGCGTCTCCTCGGACAGCAGCAGCAGCTTCTCGGTCGACGTGCCCGAGACGGCGCCCAGTGGCAAGCAGCAGCCCACGAGGGTCAAGGATCAGCGCGAGGTGCGGGCCAAGCGCAACGAGTGGCGCATCACCAAGATGGTGCTGGCCATCTTCCTGTCCTTCGTCGTCTGCTACCTGCCCATCACCATTGTGAAGGTGGCCGACAAGAACGCGGAGCACCCCAGCCTGCAGATCTGCAGCTACATCCTGCTCTACCTCTCCGCCTGCATCAACCCGATCATCTATGTGATCATGAACAAGCAGTACCGCAAGGCCTACAAGACGGTCGTCTTCTGCCAGCCCGCCCGCCTGCTGCTGCCCTTCGGGAAGGCCAATGGCGCCAGCAGCGCTGCAGGTACGTGCCCTGCTCGGGCGCCAGTGGCTGAGCTACATGCACTAAGTCACGGTCATTCTTCGTTTCAGAGAAATGGAAAGATACCGGGTTGAGCAACAACCACAGCCGCACCATCGTCTCCCAGATGTCGGGGGGAACGGGAACGGGAACAGGAACTCCAACGGGAACGGGAACGGGAACTCCGTCGGGAACACCAACGGTACAGAGCCCACCACCGCCGCAGGAAAGCCCACAGGCCTTGGAGATGCTGTCAAGGGGACCACCGGATCTGATCAGCAAGTCAAATCTCCCGCTGCCGACCGCTACGCCCCCGCCCCCCTCAGTCCTCCAGGCGACGCCCAACGGAAGCAGCAGCAGCAGCTCCAATCTCCGACTGCCGCTCAAGAAGAACAATCACTCCTACAGCAACAGCGGCTTCAACGGCAGCAGCAATCCGGGACTGGGGATCGGGATCAGCAGCAGCTCCATTTACCGGCCAGGAGTTGGCTCACTGGGGAGCGGATCGGCCTCGATCCGTCGCATCACGATGGTGGGCGACGACATAATACTGGAGGAGGAGGAGCTGCCGCCCACTCCGCCGGCCACGTCGGCACCCACAACGCCGGCACCGCCCCCGCCCTCAGCCCCAATGCATCCGCTCTCCATGATGGGCTCAACAGGCGGAGGAGCAGGGACGACCACGACGACGCCACACATCTACATGAATGTCGACAGCCCGAAGAGAAACCAATCCTACGCGGAACGTAATACGAACGTAGCACCGGCAGCCCCACAAGATCCAAACTCCGGTTTGGCCAACACATCCGAAACCGTCTCCATTTCCGGCTCCAAGCTGACGGCCAAGATGAAGTTCCCAAAAGACTAACGAAATGCTTTAATTCCAAAAACAAAATCAAAGAAGACACAAACACTACTTTCGTTATAAACAAAGAATATATGCCAGGCATTTTAGATCGGTGTATCGCAAATCGTTCGTTAATCTTTCGAAAAAAGCGAAAAAAAAAGGGGAGAATTCTCCAGAGAATGATGTTGTATGTAGTTCAATATCGCATTTCCCATATCATATAAGCAATTTGTTCTATAGTTATTGTAATTTAATACTTAGTATTTGCCAAATAGCGAAGAGTGGGCGTTGAAATTGTGCCATAGTTTATTACCCTTTGGATTCCGCTGTATTTCTCGTTTCCCACTTTATTGTAAACCAAAACTTATAAACTGTAGGACTACCATTCACACTAAACATTGTCTAAAATTTATATCCAGTATAACTATAAATCTATATCGTTTCAAGTGAATCAATATCGCTCTAACCAATGTCTGGATCAATTAACTTTTCGAAATCCCATCACAGCTGACACTACTTAGTAATAGTCGTAGATTGTAGATATTTATGGTCGCTCACGCTTAGTATTAACCCCTCCACTATCTAATCTATATGCCCAGATCGTGGCCCTATACTACTGTACTTTTACTTGAACCCAAAGTCTTTCCCTTAAATTTCGTTCCCTACTCCTAACATAAACATTCCATTCCAACGTAGGCCTTTGTAAATGAACCTATTGTTAGTCCACCACGAACACTCCATTCGAAAGACGATAGAAGCAAATCGAATATGAATATAAACATGAATGTTTACATAAATAAACAACACTTGTAATTTATCACCGATGTTTTATTGTTGTTCCTGAAATCAGCTGAATTCCGGGAATCGGGAATGGCGAATTGAATTTCGGATAACACTAGAAACCCCGTAATGACTATATTATATGTAATAGAGCTTTTATCTCATCGCTGGGACCGAGAAAACTCCGTGTATCCATATCTAAGCTGGGCGTAGGCCATCGCTGACCCAATTTGGCGGCTCACATTTCCCAGTTTTGTGGGGCGGTACGAAAGGTGGCTCAGGGGGGGAGTAAGGGAGGGCAGGGGGAGTGGTGGGAGTAGCGCCGAGGGGTGAACGGTGGACCGAGCGGACCCAGCTGGGGAGGCTTATCAGCGAAACGCTCGTTCCAGCGAGTTGCATTCAGTGCGCCGCCACCGGCCGAGCAGTTTAACACGGCGTCGGGCGATCGAATCGAATCGGATCGAATCAAATTAGCAAATTAGCAAAATCAAAACGAAATGAGCTATAACAACGTGATCTGCACGATCTGTTCGGAGCGGTATCGCACCTCGGACAACATACACGCCGGCAGCTGTGGGCATGCCTTCCACGAGGAGTGCCTGGACCGCTGGCGGGAGCAGTAAGTGCAGTGGTCCCCAGGCGATCTACTAATGGTTCAAGCAATACCACTGATAAAGACACTATTCGGAACTAAAATTGATACCAAAGTGCTCAAAGTACCAAATACTAAGAAGGGAATCTTCAAAAAAATCAAGTATATAAGCTTAGTATATCCAAATCTAGTACAACGCTTATCAGAACCATGTTCTTATGGCCCCTTGTTTTTTGAGGGGAATTCCCCGAAGTTGATTGAACCTTAGATCGCAGACCTTGAGTGTTGCTTCGGCGAAATGTTTATAAGAAAATCCGCTTTGCAGATCGAGAACTTGCCCCATCTGCCGCTGCGAGGATGCCACGTACTTCCAGCTCTATCTGAACTTCGAGGAGTCGCCGGCAGGCGACAGCGAGACGGCGCAGAGTGGAAGTGGGCGAAATCGGAGCCAAGGTCACGGCGGCAGCAGTCGCAGCAGCAGCAGCAACAACAGCAGCAACACGAGCAGCAGCGATTACGCGGGCATCATGAGGGAGTACGAGAACCTGCTCTACGAGACGGGGGTGTACCAGGATGAGATCGAGTATCTCAACGAGCGGATCGGGGCGCTCACCCTCCGCAATTCTCGACTCTGCAAGTTGCACGGCGACGATTCGGATTCGGACGATGATTAGGAGCAGCGCAGCCAGGGAATACAAACAAACAAAAGAGCCGCTGTAAACATTGGGTTATCGCACATTTCGCCAGAGGATCCCGGCGATAGCCGATCGAATCCAAGTAACAAACTATTTGGACAGATAAGCAGACTCAGAAGGCTGAGGGAAACAAAAGAGGCGAAAGAACAATAGAGCCAGTACATGTGAGTGCTCATATGCGATAAATAAATGATTACTAAGAGAAGATACATATAAGATATGATATGTTAGACTAAATAAAGCAATAAGAAAAAATACGTTTAGGCAACGTAAAATTAGCTATTTAATAACCAAAATAAATCAGTTACCCTGTTTTTTAATAATACCCTTGGTTTTGTTTTTTTTTGGAAATTCGCGATTTCAGTTTTTGACAAAAATTGGAATTTTTTCTTTTGGTTTTTTTGCTGTAACTTGACCAAAAATGGTCCTACACCAAAAATTCATACTGTTTTGAACAGATAACAAAATTTGCTATAAATCCATAAAACTTTCCGTGTAATTTTGGAAAAATAAAATTTTCGCCAATTTTTAATTTTTTTATAAGGGGGTACCCCATGATTTTTTGCGAAAAATTAAAAATGAATAAATTGTCAAGGTTTAAATGCCAATCGTTAGGAAATTTAATAACGAGTTCAGAAAGGTATGACAATCCATACTTTGAATCAGTATTTGCTTTGTTATAGCGAAAAAACTGCAACGTTTTAGCGAAAAAACGGGTCTGGTTTTTTTTGGAAATTCGCGATTTCAGTTTTTGACAAAAATTGGAATTTTTTCTTTTGGTTTTTTTGCTGTCACTTGGCCAAAAATGGTCCTACACCAAAAATTCATACTGTTTTGAACAGATAACAAAATTTGCTATAAATCCATAAAACTTTCCGTGTAATTTTGGAAAAATAAAATTTTCGCCAATTTTTAATTTTTTTATAAGGGGGTACCCCATGATTTTTTGCGAAAAATTAAAAATGAATAAATTGTCAAGGTTTAAATGCTAATCGTTAGGAAATTTAATAACGAGTTCAGAAAGGTATGACAATCCATACTTTGAATCAGTATTTGCATTGTTATAGCGAAAAAACTGCAACGTTTTAGCGAAAAAACGGGTTTGGTTTTTTTTGGAAATTCGCGATTTCAGTTTTTGACAAAAATTGGAATTTTTTCTTTTGGTTTTTTTGCTGTCACTTGGCCAAAAATGGTCCTACACCAAAAATTCATACTGTTTTGAACAGATAACAAAATTTGCTATAAATCCATAAAACTTTCCGTGTAATTTTGGAAAAATAAAATTTTCGCCAATTTTTAATTTTTTTATAAGGGGTACCCCATGATTTTTTGCGAAAAATTAAAAATGAATAAATTGTCAAGGTTTAAATGCCAATCGTTAGGAAATTTAATAACGAGTTCAGAAAGGTATGACAATCCATACTTTGAATCAGTATTTGCATTGTTATAGCGAAAAAACTGCAACGTTTTAGCGAAAAAACGGGTTTGGTTTTTTTTGGAAATTCGCAATTTCAGTTTTTGACAACAATTGGAATTTTTTCTTTTGGTTTTTTTGCTGTCACTTGGCCAAAAATGGGCCTACACCAAAAATTCATACTGTTTTGAACAGATAACAAAATTTGCTATAAATCCATAAAACTTTCCGTGTAATTTTGGAAAAATAAAATTTTCGCCAATTTTTAATTTTTTTATAAGGGGGTACCCCATGATTTTTTGCGAAAAATTAGAAATGAATAAATTGTCAAGGTTTAAATGCCAATCGTTAGGAAATTTAATAACGAGTTCAGAAAGGTATGACAATCCATACTTTGAATCAGTATTTGCATTGTTATAGCGAAAAAACTGCAACGTTTTAGCGAAAAAACGGGTTTGGTTTTTTTTTGGAAATTCGCAATTTCAGTTTTTGACAACAATTGGAATTTTTTCTTTTGGTTTTTTTGCTGTCAAAATTCATACTGTTTTGAACAGATAACAAAATTTGCTATAAATCCATAAAACTTTCCGTGTAATTTTGGAAAAATAAAATTTTCGCCAATTTTTAATTTTTTTATAAGGGGGTACCCCATGATTTTTTGCGAAAAATTAAAAATGAATAAATTGTCAAGGTTTAAATGCCAATCGTTAGGAAATTTAATAACGAGTTCAGAAAGGTATGACAATCCATACTTTGAATCAGTATTTGCATTGTTATAGCGAAAAAACTGCAACGTTTTAGCGAAAAAACGGGTTTGGTTTTTTTTTGGAAATTCGCAATTTCAGTTTTTGACAACAATTGGAATTTTTTCTTTTGGTTTTTTTGCTGTCAAAATTCATACTGTTTTGAACAGATAACAAAATTTGCTATAAATCCATAAAACTTTCCGTGTAATTTTGGAAAAATAAAATTTTCGCCAATTTTTAATTTTTTTATAAGGGGGTACCCCATGATTTTTTGCGAAAAATTAAAAATGAATAAATTGTCAAGGTTTAAATGCCAATCGTTAGGAAATTTAATAACGAGTTCAGAAAGGTATGACAATCCATACTTTGAATCAGTATTTGCTTTGTTATAGCGAAAAAACTGCAACGTTTTAGCAAAAAAACGGGTTTGGTTTTTTTTTTGGAAATTCGCGATTTCAGTTTTTGACAAAAATTGGAATTTTTTCTTTTGGTTTTTTTGCTGTCACTTGGCCAAAAATGGTCCTACACCAAAAATTCATACTGTTTTGAACAGATAACAAAATTTGCTATAAATCCATAAAACTTTCCGTGTAATTTTGGAGAAATAAAATTTTCGCCAATTTTTAATTTTTTTATAAGGGGGTACCCCATGATTTTTTGCGAAAAATTAAAAATGAATAAATTGTCAAGGTTTAAATGCCAATCGTTAGGAAATTTAATAACGAGTTCAGAAAGGTATGACAATCCATACTTTGAATCAGTATTTGCATTGTTATAGCGAAAAAACTGCAACGTTTTAGCGAAAAAACGGGTTTGGTTTTTTTTTGGAAATTCGCAATTTCAGTTTTTGACAACAATTGGAATTTTTTCTTTTGGTTTTTTTGCTGTCACTTGGCCAAAAATGGTCCTACACCAAAAATTCATACTGTTTTGAACAGATAACAAAATTTGCTATAAATCCATAAAACTTTCCGTGTAATTTTGGAAAAATAAAATTTTCGCCAATTTTTAATTTTTTTATAAGGGGGTACCCCATGATTTTTTGCGAAAAATTAAAAATGAATAAATTGTCAAGGTTTAAATGCCAATCGTTAGGAAATTTAATAACGAGTTCAGAAAGGTATGACAATCCATACTTTGAATCAGTATTTGCATTGTTATAGCGAAAAAACTGCAACGTTTTAGCGAAAAAACGGGTTTGGTTTTTTTTTTGAAATTCGCGATTTCAGTTTTTGACAAAAATTGGAATTTTTTCTTTTGGTTTTTTTGCTGTCACTTGGCCAAAAATGGTCCTACACCAAAAATTCATACTGTTTTGAACAGATAACAAAATTTGCTATAAATCCATAAAACTTTCCGTGTAATTTTGGAAAAATAAAATTTTCGCCAATTTTTAATTTTTTTATAAGGGGGTACCCCATGATTTTTTGCGAAAAATTAAAAATGAATAAATTGTCAAGGTTTAAATGCCAATCGTTAGGAAATTTAATAACGAGTTCAGAAAGGTATGACAATCCATACTTTGAATCAGTATTTGCTTTGTTATAGCGAAAAAACTGCAACGTTTTAGCGAAAAAACGGGTTTGGTTTTTTTTTTGAAATTCGCGATTTCAGTTTTTGACAAAAATTGGAATTTTTTCTTTTGGTTTTTTTGCTGTCACTTGGCCAAAAATGGTCCTACACAAAAAATTCATACTGTTTTGAACAGATAACAAAATTTGCTATAAATCCATAAAACTTTCCGTGTAATTTTGGAAAAATAAAATTTTCGCCAATTTTTAATTTTTTTATAAGGGGGTACCCCATGATTTTTTGCGAAAAATTAAAAATGAATAAATTGTCAAGGTTTAAATGCCAATCGTTAGGAAATTTAATAACGAGTTCAGAAAGGTATGACAATCCATACTTTGAATCAGTATTTGCATTGTTATAGCGAAAAAACTGCAACGTTTTAGCGAAAAAACGGGTTTGGTTTTTTTTGGAAATTCGCGATTTCAGTTTTTGACAAAAATTGGAATTTTTTCTTTTAATTTTTTTTCTGTCACTTGGCCAAAAATGGTCCTACACCAAAAATTCATACTGTTTTGAACAGATAACAACATTTGCTATAAATCCATAAAACTTTCCGTGTAATTTTGGAAAAATAAAATTTTCGCCAATTTTTAATTTTTTTATAAGGGGGTACCCCATGATTTTTTGCGAAAAATTAAAAATGAATAAATTGTCAAGGTTTAAATGCCAATCGTTAGGAAATTTAATAACGAGTTCAGAAAGGTATGACAATCCATACTTTGAATCAGTATTTGCTTTGTTATAGCGAAAAAACTGCAACGTTTTAGCGAAAAAACGGGTTTGGTTTTTTTTTGGAAATTCGCGATTTCAGTTTTTGACAAAAATTGGAATTTTTTTTTTGGTTTTTTTGCTGTCACTTGGCCAAAAATGGTCCTACACCAAAAATTCATACTGTTTTGAACAGATAACAAAATTTGCTATAAATCCATAAAACTTTCCGTGTAATTTTGGAAAAATAAAATTTTCGCCAATTTTTAATTTTTTTATAAGGGGGTACCCCATGATTTTTTGCGAAAAATTAAAAATGAATAAATTGTCAAGGTTTAAATGCCAATCGTTAGGAAATTTAATAACGAGTTCAGAAAGGTATGACAATCCATACTTTGAATCAGTATTTGCTTTGTTATAGCGAAAAAACTGCAACGTTTTAGCGAAAAAACGGGTTTGGTTTTTTTTTGGAAATTCGCGATTTCAGTTTTTGACAAAAATTGGAATTTTTTCTTTTGGTTTTTTTGCTGTCACTTGGCCAAAAATGGTCCTACACCAAAAATTCATACTGTTTTGAACAGATAACAAAATTTGCTATAAATCCATAAAACTTTCCGTGTAATTTTGGAAAAATAAAATTTTCGCCAATTTTTAATTTTTTTATAAGGGGGTACCCCATGATTTTTTGCGAAAAATTAAAAATGAATAAATTGTCAAGGTTTAAATGCCAATCGTTAGGAAATTTAATAACGAGTTTAGAAAGGTATGACAATCCATACTTTGAATCAGTATTTGCATTGTTATAGCGAAAAAACTGCAACGTTTTAGCGAAAA